GGCAGCAAGCGTGTCATAACGAGAAATGTATTTTAACGAACATTTTTCATTCTACAGGGACATGGAGACCATTGCTACCAACATACCACAGATCGGCCTCCACGCGGTCTTTCCTGGAAACCATGGTGATTAATTACTGGTAAACTCGTCATGATGGTCTGTCTGACCTGACTATCATCCATTGATGCCCCGTAAGCGTGAACAGTTAGCGCTGGCGGGAGCATAATTCCAATATTATTCGAAGGAAACACTGTCAAACATGAACGAATTTGTTATTAATTATTATCATACATATAGATAAGCTAGTTTACACAGTCACTCACTCACATCCCGAAGACCGTACACTACCACGGAGCTAACACGTGTGGTTCGTTATCCCGAACGGCGTAATAACTAACCGGGATACAGTGATCAATTGATTGGAATCGTTGTAGTCACCCCATCCTGTATTGGTACACCAAATGTTTAATATACGGTTCAAATAGGACATTAAGCCGTTGGAAGGTGGGTGGGATTGTTAGCAGTTTGTATTCACACAAAATTCTTAAAAATGTGGTTCTGAATAATATAAAATTAATTGTGTTTACAATGTTATCTTATTGCACAAAGAATGAGTGCGTAGCGGCTTATTTGCTGATTGTTACATGCCTCCTTCTTGTTAATGTGTATTTACTTAGAACAACATTTATTTAAAAGATCAACACTCATGTTACTTGTTCGTGCTTTTGATGAATCTGCGTTCCGAATGTGTGGTAGAATAAAAATATATATTTATTCAAAAGAGCTTGTATAAAGATAATTTCTGTATTTATAAATATGGACTGTTGACTCCATAGCTAGCAATGTGTCAGTTCAGGTTGACCACCACGCGGTGACAGTGTAAACACATCATTCCGTTATCATTCATTAAATAAAAGTTTTTAACCATAACAATACTTTAAGAGAGAAAGAATATAAAATATTACATACATATATACTACCACAAATGTAAAATCTGTGGAATATATTTTTATATTACACACAAGCACCAATCTACAATGATGCTAGTATTGCGCTGCCATCCGTTAATTGGAGTTAAATTAAACATGCGGGCATTGGCTGGTTCGGTACCCACCATGTTGAATGAGTGCTGGATGGGAGGCCGGCCAGAGGGATATAGTTACAATTTAATTATCAAACAAAATATTTTTTAATTCACACAACGCCATCTAGTTCTAAGATAAGTAGAGCTTATATTTTGGATACTAGGCAACTGATACAAATACTTATAACTTGTTTTTTGTCAATACATAATATAGACGGAACGTGGGGAAGGGTAGGGTCAGTAATGAGATCTTCTGTCCCTAGTAATGTACCGTGTTTTTTTTATGGATGATAATGGAATTGTGCACCCGCCTGCGCTAACGGTTTACGCTGGCGGGCACCAGTGAAAGATAATAAGATGCACATGAGGTCAGGTCAGTTAGCCCATCGTAACAAATTCACTAAGAATTTATCACGATGGTTTCCAGGGGGAACCGCGTAGAGGTCAACCTGACATGGTATATTGCTAGCACTGAGATTATCAATGCACATTACTATCAAACTACTTCCCCCCCCCCCCCCCCCAACCAATGTACCGTGTTAGACACGTCCACGCGGTTCCCCCTGGAAACCATAGTGGTTAATTCCTGGCTATTTACTTTAATCACGACGGGCAAACCAGGTCAGTTTACCAGTCGTGATTGAATAAACAGCTCATCATCCTATCCTTCTCCACTGGTGCCCCGCCAGCGTATACCGTTAGCGCAGGCGGGTGCACCATACCATAACCATTCATTAAAAAATATATGGAAAACACCCAGCAGTATATAGTTACAATTTAATTAACAAACTAAGTTTTTTTTAATTCACACAACGCCATCTGGTCCCAAGTTAAGAAGAGCTTGTGTTATAGGTACTAGACAACTGATACAAATAGTTTACATTTTTCTTTGTACATACATACATTACATAGAAAACACCCAGACCGGTACACAATGCATACCGTGGGACTAGATGGCGCTGTGTTAATTGTCTAGGGGTGTGAATATAGGACTGTATATATATGGGGCTGGTAGATATAATTATGCAAACACGGGTTTTAGGAAGCAATAATATAATATTATGTACAAAAGTATAATCATTAGCCGAACAAGAATGACAATGTCATATACATTTTTCTATATAAAATAATAGACAAAATAAATAAATAATATACAAAGAGGTGCGTCGTGCACAAGGGGTTATATATTTATTTTTAGTAGCATTCAACTTTAATTAATATTATTGACATATGTAATAGTAGCGATATAATGTTATAACTCAAAGCATGCTGTGGTTACTTATAAATATAAGAACAGTTAGTATAAGATCTTTAGAATTGTATAGAATCACGACAGATATTTATTGCTGTATCTTATGTTACTAATTTCCAAGCAGTAAGGCTTTATAACTCGCCCAATAGTTTAAAAAAAATACATAATTGGAAGCTTTTTAGGGAGAGGTTGCGTTGTTTTCTGTTGGATCAATCGTTTTACAGTGTTGATGAATTTCTTAGCAGCAAAAATTGTATAATTTTAAACACAACATAAATTGTTACTGAATAAATAAATATCAAAAATATTAAATAATTCTTAAAAATATATACATATATATATAATGTTGCCATGTCACTAATCAGGCATTCAAAGAATGTAGCTATAGTTGGCAACCGGAAGTCGAATCAGCAATGAACATTGCTCGTATGTTAGTAACGTCAATTGGTACTCGATAGATTTCAGATAACATAGTATTATCAGTTAATAACTCGCCGTAAATGATCTACCTTCTGTATATAAAAATACAGCTTCTGTGTCTGTTCGTTTAACTTGAAAATTAGGCGAAGTGACTACGTAGCATTTCCATACAGGATTCTAGTATAACTTTGAGCGTTAATAATTATCCCACTATTCCAACGATGCATCTCTTCAACTTATTTGTGGATAAGGTCCAAAATGCTGACGTGTACGCAGGCCTTCTATAATAAATAAATAAACAAAGGAAGTGACTTCAGTTTATGTATACTACTAGCAGACCCGACTGTGGCTAAGGTTCTTGAATGAAATATTGCGAATATAAATTGAGATGTAAGCTATCCTATCTTTCAAGCTGAATTGCACACAATGTGCAAGTCAAATTTGCAATCGGTTCCGGTGTCCATCGCGGATAAACAACTTGATACGTAATTTTTATATATAAAGATGAAAAGATTTATTTAGTTTTTAATTGAGAAAATTTTTATATATTTACTAGCTACTCACCCCGGCTTCGTACGGGTATACATGTATTGTACATATAAACCTTCCTCTTGAATCACTCTATCTATTAAAAAAACCGCTTGAAAATCCGTTGCGTAGTTTTAAAGATTTAAGCATACATAGGGACGGACATACAGCGACTGAGACTTTGTTTTATACTATGTAATGATGATAAAGCATTATAAATTAGCATATTACAATTTTGGCTCAATTCTCATAAGGGCGCCGCCATTTCTTATCAGACGTAATTACTCTGTGGGTTTAGACTATACAATATTACATTTATTAACATATTTATTACTATCTGACGCCACAACGAAACCTGTGCGGATACATCTAGTCAGAAATAAATTAATAATCTGTATATATACCTAGAATATTTTATTACACAAAAAAAACCACTTCACACCCGGATTATGTAGAATTCATGTGGAATAGATTTGAGCTTTGCACGTGTTAAATGTTTCTTGACACATTTTTCCATATATGCTTTACGCTTCAACATAGCTCATGAATTTTTGAATTAATAATTGTTGGGAAAGTGGATGGTTAGTAATGTGGACTAATGACCCCATTACTAGCAATGCGCCATGTCAGGTTGACCTCCACGCGGTTCCCCCTGGAAACCATCGTTATAAATTCTTGGTGAATTTGTCACGATGGGCTAACTGACCTGACCTCATGTGCATCTTATTATCTTTCACTGGTGCCCGCCAGCGTAAACCGTTAGCGCAGGCGGGTGCACCATTCCATTATCATCCACAAAAAATGCATTTATGCATATACAAAATAGTTATTGATTGTAGATTATATATTTATTTAGACCTATATACATCATCATCATCATCGCAGCCCGGAAGACGTCCACTGCTGGACATAGGCCTCCCCCAAATACATATATAGGCTTAATTACGTAGGATATTATACAATACAGACTATTTAAATCGCTTCATAATCTGTTCCGTAGTTTTAAAGATTTAAGCAACATAGGCACGGACAAACAGCCACAGCGACTTTGTTTTATAAATTTCTTTTAATACTACGATGGTGGCAAACGAGCATACGGCCGATCTAATGAACACCTGACGCACCAGGAGTGTCACGTGCGCGTTGGCCAACTTTATTTCTTTGTCTACTCGTTATTGCATAAAAATACAGAAGCAAAATATAAAAAATACACGACTAAATGACACGGCTAAAAGAACAATAATAAATTAAGTCAAATACAACTAGACTTCCATTTCTAAGTAAACAAATCACATGGACACTGCTATAAAAAAAAGCAATAAACAATGACGTCACAACTACAACTAGTTCCATTTTCAAATAAATAAATCAAACGGAGACTGCTTTAAAAAAAAAAGAAATAATAAGTGATTACGCATAACTACAACTAGTTCCATTTTCAAATAAATAAATCAAACGGAGACTGCTTTAAAAAAAAAAGAAATAATAAGTGATTACGCATAACTACAACTAGAGTTCCATTTTCAAATAAATAAATCAAACGGAGACTGCTTTAAAAAAAAAAGAAATAATAAGTGATTACGCACAACTACAACTAGAGTTCCATATTCAAATAAACAACTCAAACGGACACTGGTTAAAAAAAGCAATAATAAGTGATTACGTCTCAAGTTCTAGGGGTGTTCTATTTTCAAGTAATCTTTAAAATAGACTAACCTGTGTATCCCTGAGGTCAGGCTCGCTGGCGGCCGTGGGCAGTGCGTCGTCCGTGCGGTCGTGCCGGCCGGCTGATCCGGTCCGGTCATTCCGGTCCGTCCGGTCGCCGCCGCACACGTCGCCGGCGCTGGCGCTCAGTGCTCGTCTCCTCGCCTCCTTCTCTTTCTCTTTCTCCTTGCCAGTCAGCATGTGTTTCGTCTTCGATAACAGGTTCATTGGCTTCAGTGATTTCCGAACCTAGAGTTTAAGAGTATTGTTAAATATTGCTCACTGTTTATCCAATTAGGGTCGGCATGCACGTGACGCCCCCACGTCAGGTGTCCATAGGCTATGGTAACCATTTACGATCAGACGTGCCGTATGCCTGTTTCTCACCACCATTGTAAAAAAAATTGCAAATATGTATGCAAAGAAAACTGAAATTAATATCTAAAGAATAATGGGACCGCATTTTATTTGTTTGTTAATTTATAACGATTTAAAAAACTGTTCAACCAACCTGTATCTATTGCAATAATAACAACAGTTTTGTAACATACATATACATATATATGTCAGGCCCACGATTTATTTCTATCCTAGAATTAGTTTACACATTGATATTGAATAACAATAGGCATTCTTCCTAAGTTATTTAATAGCTTCAGCTACTAAATTGTTAAAAGCTAACGTGAGGGGGGCCTTCCCCCTTTTGATTGGTATATGGACTAATGTTTCCATTGCTAGCAATGTACCATGTCAGGTCGACCTCCACGCGGTTGTCCCTGGAAACTATCGTGATAAATTCCCGGTGAATTTGTCACGATGGGCTAACTGATCTGACTTCATGTTCATCACTGGTGCCCCGCCAGCGTAAATCGTTAGCGCAGACGGGTGCACCATTCCATTATCATCCTCTAAAAAAAACAGCTAACGTGAGTGATAACGAGCGTAAAAACCTAGGTTGCAGGTTAATAAACATAGGTTAATTTTTGGCGTGACCTACATTTTGTGGCATCATATTTCCTACTATTAATTCCAGGGAATACGAGTCATATAGTATTTTGACTAAAAGACAATGTATTCTATATGGGTTTACAAACACTATAAATCACAAAGGTAATACAGTAAGTACCCTATCGTACATTACAGCTATAGGTATATTTTGCTCTGTACCCATCAATATTCGTTAATTTGTAGTACACATAAAGATACTAATTTTCCAAGAGCCTTCCCTTCATATTTAACACTACAGTACAAATATTTAACACATTGTCAAATATTTGTATAGAGTCACAACAAATTATACTTGTTTATTGAAAGATTAACTAACCTTGCTTTTAACTGTAGCAGGGTGAACAAAATTGTCATCATCTTTATCCTTCGGTGGCTGATCCCTCATACCAATCACCAACATATCATCGAGAGAGGCCTGTAGATGTTTCCTCTCCACCGGCTTCGCTTCCTCATGACTCCTGGATGAGTACACCGAAACAGAATCCATGCTGGCCTTACTGGTACCCCCAGATATTACAGTTACATTCTCTACAGACTCATTGGACTGCCAATCAGGTGGCTGACGAGATCTCTCCTCGTAAATCTCAACAGAATTAAATTTCTCCGCCACTCTATCTACCTCCAAGTCAACATTCAATTGCTGAGGAATAAACTCATAATGGTCACCTTCGTTTTCGGTATACACTTGATCATATACAACTCCATTCGAAAATGCTTTAGAACTTGATGGGATATTCCCGTAAATATTATTGTAGTTGTAAGTATCATCTTCCTTCCGTGGACTTACGTGACGGACAGTTTGCATATCATTCGTGTTTAGTATAACATCGTCAAGGTTTAATGGTCTGCCTTGACCACCAAAACCGTCTACAACTGGAGTTGTGTTAGACAAGAAGGAACCATCTGCATCAAAGCTGCTGCAACCTACCAACCCGAGTGGCCTTCGAGGCATATCTTGTCTGAACCTATTCGGAGGTGCCTGCTGCGCAAAATCAACTACCAATATCCTATCGGCGATATTTCGACAGTCATTATGAAAGCCTATTCCTGAATCGCTGTTGCTCGACGTAGTGGTCACCTCACTGTGGTTACTAGGCTGTGGAGAGTTCGCCACGAACTCTTGACCCTCAATTCGTACGTCGTCGTGCCTACACGGTCTCCTATCTCGAGGCACACGGAAAACCGGCCTATTACACCTTGCAAAATTGCCTGCCATTGGACTTTCGCCTTTCACAGCTAACTTAGATATCTGCTGCAAATTCGGACTGGAACAATTCTCGGCGGGTAATGAATACATCCCTCTTATGACTCCAACTACGTATTCCGCCGAAGGCGGGAACTCCAAACATCTCTCCGCCACTGGGTCTCTAGTGCAAACGATTTGGAACTCTCTCGCTCTGGCTATATGAGCTTCATGTTCTGCCATTCTTGGGTCGACGGCAAAAACATGGCAACTATGCGACGCTTCTTCTTCAGTGAGTTCCGCTGACGTCACCAAACCAAAATACCTTCTGTCAGCGTCAGAGCCACATCCAGCATAGACAATGCGTTCACGTTGGTACTGAGCAAGAATTTGACCTGTGGGGCGCCTGAGCAGCAAAGAATTCGGGAGAACGGACAATAAAACTGGGGCTGCAGGGCGTCTTTCCTGTCTCAATTTCCTGACAGCTGTACGCACGTTACTTGGGGCAGCGTTATTAGAAGCCTGCGGAGTTTCAATAGTGCCGAGATATCCAACCACGGCCCGACACTCAAGCCGGGCAATGTGGCTAGGTGTCAGCTGAGCTCTGCTAAGATTCTGTAGGATCTCGTTGACGCCTAATGTACTTGGCGCGGCGTGACATCCTGGAAATTTGCATAGAAAAATAAATTAGATTTTTATAGCATATAAAACTTGCCAAATACGTACATATTATCTAAATATGCAGTTAATTCAAAAAGTTAACGACTGTTTAGTTCTGTATTAAAAGTTTTCTATTTCTTTGTGTTTTAATAGCTTATTTTATTAGTGGTTACAGGAGTTACTGTCATATTATCTAGTACTTTTTTATTCTTATTAATGTGCTATAAATAAATAAATTCAAGCAATTGTGTAAATAATCGAAATATTAACGATTTTATTGTGCAAAACAAAAACCATGTGTAACAAGCTTTGCAATTGACTTTGCAGTACAGTGATTATGGAGAACAAGAAGCCAAACAAGGACTTGATGTAATTAAGCAAAACAAAGATATGATTGAAACAGAGAATGCTACTACATATTTCGTTGATTTCCAGTTACAAAAGAAATAAGGATATGAAAAATAAATTATTCCCATCTTCATAAAAATTAATTTATGCTTGAAACATTAAGTAAAAGTGTAATGTCACAGCCTCAAGAATTAAGAAGCTATAATGAAAAGTACAAAATCTTACTAATGTCACTAATGCGAATTAATAATAGTTTGTGAGAATGAATGAAGAAAAAAAAACTATTATAATGAGTTATGATGAAACCATTATAATGAATTATGAAAGAAACTTATTCATCATAATAACACAAAAGTTATAATTTAAAAAGATTTTATGTAAATTGGGCGTAATATAATGATAAATGCGAAGTAAGTGTGTAAGATATTGCATTAGCGATAAGACCGCCTTTTGTACTTATTTTTTTTTTAATTTTGTTCATGTCCTTTATATGATGGTGCAATAGTGTTGTAATAATAATAAATAAGTGTGATGCAGAGGAAGTTGTGCGGATTAGCTAGATTAGTAATATCTAAGAAAGCTTTAGTTTAGTTAATTAATAATTTAACGAATAAAGACATAAATAGTTAAAGCCAGTCAGCCCAACAACAGAAAATATGTATGTTGTTTATTTATTGAATATATAAATTCATATAGTTAGTGCAAAACACAAATACAAGGTGCACAAATATTTTCAAGCCAGTTTCACATACCTATATTATGTTATGTACCCATCTGTAAACAGTAAACAACATGGTTACATATTATATATTACATAATATATAATAATACCACACCTTCTACATATGTAACAGAAGAAATAATGCAACCTATTTAGCTTACTTCTTGCTTGGTCAGAAATATGATAGGAATATTAAACTGAGGACAATTCACAGAGCGCCATCTAGTCCCAAGTTAAGCTAGCTAAAGCTTGTGTTATGGGTACTAGATAACTAATACAAATACATAGATTTTTTTTTTCATAAATAGTTATTTAGAAAACACCCAGACCGATACAAACATTCATGCTCATGAATACAAATGTTTGTGCAGTGTGAGAAATTGAACCCGCGACCATCTGAACTAAATTGGTGAACTAAACCGCTACACTACTGAGGTATCAAAGATTATAAAGTTGTAGGGCATAATCTCTCGATCTACTGAACAATTTTGAAAATTCTTTTATTAATGGAAAGCCACATTATGTCTGTGTGTCAAAGAATATATAACATTACACTGCGATGAATGGTAGTGCATCTGCAATGGAAAATATTTCCAAAATAGGATAAATGTGACACAGTTGAAGTTGTGCTGTCAGCCAGTATAAGGATATAGTGGCAGACAGGCATATGGACCACTTGATGGTACAGTTCCTGTAGCCTTAAAACACCTTTTAGGGTGTGTTTATACCAAGGATATTATATGTGCATTGTTTTTCCCTTATTGATTTAAAATAGTAATATTACTGACTTGTTTGCTTTTTTTATATATGCTACAAAATGTTTATACAAAAACATTTTGTAGAAGAGTAAAGATGTTTTCTTCTAACAGCAAATTCTAGTTGATTTTATCTGAGTAGAAAGTTTGTCAAATTGAGATCTAATTGAAAACTCGACAACTAAACAAAAGGAAATTGAAGAATGTTGATGAAAAATTGAATAAAAATTTTTTTACCAACTGCCAAGGATATATCATATAAGAACTTCATGAATTATTTTTTTAATTAAAGGTACTTAATCCTGTATAATTATAGTATCAATAAAATATTACTCCAATATAATTACCACTATTATATCCCCATGCAATTATATATAATATAATCTACAACATTAGTAAAGCTTTAGATACCTAATCATTACACTATTAACCTAATATTACCTTATACACATACTAAAAATATAAATATTATACAATCTGTATAAATATTAGAATCAAAACTGTTTACGTATAAATTAATCAGTCTAAACTACTTTCGTACCAAACCAATAATTATTTCCAAGTAGAACAAACTATATATTCCTCCTATTTATATAATTTTTAAACAGAAAATTGAAAAGATACATGACTGTGATAGATATATAACAACTTATTTGAAAATATGGTATCATTCAAGTTTGAAAAATAAATTAAGAAAGTTACTTATGGACAAAGCTTTATCTTACCAGGATGATGCACCATCTGTGGTCTTCTTCTTGGCGGAGGATGGCGTCGCCTTGTTCTCGCCCTGTCATCGGGCTCAGTGTCCTCAGTATCGGTCGGTGGTGACTCTCTAGGAGCTACACTGAGGGATATAGCTCCAGGCGCGGCAGCTACCATCCTCGCCACAGACGCATGTGGAGCTCTAGCCACACTGGCACCGTCTACAGCTAATAAAGCATCTCCCGCTCGAAGACCAGCGCGCTCCGCGGGGCCTCCCGAGGCTACGGCCGATACCACGCAGGGACGTTGACCGGCTATTGTAAAACCGAAGCCTCCAGCCCCACGCGCAACTACTAAACGCCGTTCAGCCGTCCGCGGGAGCGCCGTACGCCGACGTCTCCTTCGTTGCTGCTGGGGCACCATTATAACTCTTTAACAAACTTATCGAAGTTTGTTCAGGATTAGTTGATGGTACTAGCATAATCCATAGCAGGACGCTTAGAAAATAATTATACTACGTTAGTATAATTTACAAGAAATGTATTATAAAATAAGCACAGTGAAAACAGTGAAATTCTTTACATTTATAAACTAGAAAAACTAGAATTAACTAAATTGAATAGAAAGTTTGGATTCGAAACCTTGTAACTGAAACTGACATTTAACTAAACGTCATTCAATGTATCAATCAAAACGATATTGGAACTGTCAAAATTTTACAAGTTGATATACTTGATTTATGACATTTGTGTCGCTGTGTGCAGTGTGATACATTTATTTTGTATTCACGTTGTTTTTAAACTTTTACTTATATTATAATTTAACACTGAGATTCTATTAATACTAAAAGAACCTGTTATTAAATCTACAAAATGGCTGTAAGTATCTTGAAGAATAGTGGATCTTTATTGTGAATACTTGTAAATGAATGTTTTTACAAAACTAACCAACAAATTAAATTTACAGAAAAAAGGTAAAGCAAAGATAAGCAAAGTGAAAAGGAACAACCAGACGACAAACAAAATGAAGAAGCAGGGCAAATTAAAGTTGCAGCGGCACCGGACTAAGGTGCCGAAGCAGACACAAAAGCAACCGCAACAGAGTGTGGTGGAGTACAGCAGCGCCAGTGATTCGGAATCTGGTGAAGAGTGGGCAGACATGCTCGATGATGAGGAGCAGAAGTATATACTTAGTCGTATCGCGAAGCAGCCACAACTGTTGTCCAATGTACCTGAAAAAGAGGTGGTCAACAGGTGAGTAACTTGTATTACTTCGGAATAGGTTGTGTGAATAGTGAACAAAAATGTAATATTCTACGAAAATAGCATGTGTGACATTTATGTAATTTAGCCTTAAAATTATAAAAAAAAAATATGATCAACTGGGCTTTGAGTCCATCCTACAATAAAGTGCATAGGTTAGCGCTATAAGAGACCTATGCCAGAAGGCATGCTGAATAGTGGTACAATTTGTATACTACAGTATATACTCTAACCTTGGAAAAAATGTTATATTATTATTATCAGTATATATCTCCTTCCACATAACATTGCTTACAGGTCAAAGAAACGTAAAAGAGAAGATAAAGGAGGCCGGATGCCAAGACAGGTAGCTCCCGGCAGCGACAGTGGGGCTGAGAGTGAACATTCTGATAGTGAAATAGAAGAAAATTATGAAAAGGAACTATCGGAGAGACCCCCAAAGAAGATGAGGCCATTATTGCCAATAAAAACTAAGGATGGTTTAGTGGAACGGAGTGAGGAGTATGAAGGTATCTGATTTTGCATTATACTAGGATTAAACATAGCTACTGTAGCTAAAATCCAATTTATTGGGAAATTAAATGAATTATCATTATCATTCTGGAAGACTTCACTGCCCTATCTTAACTTGTTACCAGAAACACTACAAAGTTTCTTAGTGGAAACATTTAAGACAGATGTACCCAAACAGATAACTCATTAATATTTCTTAGTATTATTTGTTAGTATGATTAGATGGATATGCATGTTTTTTTTTTAATGTAATATATAATATTATGCAATAAAGCCTAATTATAAACAATGTATATGTCCATGTGTTTATCTTTTTAATTATATTGTTTGATAATATAGTACAGTCCTAATTTTGTACTTTGTGTGTGCTTGTTTAAATGTTTTGACTCCTAGTACAACATAAATTTCAGTTAGTTTGAAATTACATATGTCAAAGTTATATATTTATTATTGTTGTCAAATTAGTTCACAATTAAATTGGCAAATGTAAGGACATATATTTTAAAAATATAAATAATTTCAGTTATCCAATAACAAAATGATATTATAATTTTATATAATTTATATTTCAATATTACATAGAATCGGAATCAGAAGAGGAAATACAAAAGTCACCAGCCCCAGAATCAAAAGCAGAGCAACCACACGAGTCAGATTCTGACTCTGGATTGGAGGGAACCGCTGAGGAGAATGAATCATCAGACCATGAGACAGTGACAGCGGTTCAACTGATGGCAGCCAGGAGAGACAAACTGCAGCATGACAAGCTGAGGATAGGTGCATTGTGCTCTTCTCTTCTGGAGAGTCCAGAGAAGAAGGTATGGCACTTTATTTTTGTTTCTATGGTCTTTCATAGCTTACCTCCGACATTATGAGGGTGGTAGATAGTCAAAGTATAATTTTGTATAACAAGGGTTTAGACCAATGTTTCTCAACCTTTTCTGAGCTTCTCTAAGCCCCACCTTAGCCTTTCCTAAAATTCTTTTGCCTGGGGGGGCAGAGCGGGGGTCTCTAAGTAGTATATATACTTGTGTCGAGTTCATTTTCTAATTGTCCCCCTTAACAATCAAATTTCCCCCTTAGAGGAATCTCAAAGATTGTGTAAAAAAATAATTAAGTTAAATAACTAAATAAAGTTTTTGCATCACATATTGTTATATAGATATGATAAAATATATCCAGCAAAATGTCAAGTGTTACGTTTACCGTCATCGTCGTCTAACATCGAAAATTGACAATGCATCTGACCAATCCTGTATAATAGAGAATAAGATGGCATGGTCAAAAACAAATTCATGGTTTATATTTTTTTATAGTTGAAGAATCTCTTTCCCATACTCTACCTGATGGAGGAGCGGCTCAAGGATGATTCTCTGAATTTACTGTCTGTGCGAAAGCTGGCAACACTTTCCGCTTATGAAGTGTTCAAGGATATCCTACCAGACTACCATATAAGGCATCAAGATTATTCTAATGTTAAATGTGAGTGCACACATTGACAGATCTTTTTATTATTATCTAACTAGCAACTAGCCCCGGCTTCACATGGGTGTACATGTATTATACATAAATCTTCCTCCTGAATCACTCTATATATTAAAAAAACCGTTTCAAAATCCGTTGCGTAGTTTTAAAGATTTAAGCATACATAGGGACGGACAGACAGCAACTTTGTTAACACTTATCTATTATCTATTAATCTATATCTAATCTAATTTAAAAAAACAAACTGACGACCCACCTGATGGTAAGTGGTAACCGTCGCATATATACATGTGCAACACTAGAGACACACTATCATATGTTACCTAAAGGAGTACACCTATATACATATACAGCACTATGGACATCATGTTATCATGTGATACCTGAAGGGTTAGGGTTAATAAAACAGCAAAGGAACTGTAAACTAAAGATTTAATGCAGTCGATATTTTGAGAACGATTAGACATGTTATTGTACATTAGTGAAGTCGGAGAGAGGCTAAAAAAACTATAGAGATGTCACATGTGCGTTAATGAATTTAATTTCTTTTTTTTAAAATTGGTGATAAGAGATATGATACAACCGCCTGCCCTCACGGTATGCACTGCCGGGGCACCAGTGGAGGATGATCCTCACACACTGGAACCTAAGTGGTCTCAGCCAGTGCAATTTCGAATGAGGTTCCTCCTGTGCACACTTATATTGTAGAATGAACTCCCTGCTGAGCGTTTCTCGAGAAACTACAGCATGGGGTTTTAAAAGAAGGGTATATTAAGGTTTCTTAAGGATCAGCAACGCGCACTTGTCACCCCTTGTGTCTCAGGCTACAATAAGCGTTTACTATAAGTTGGGCCGATTGTTGGTTCTTAGTTATCGTAGTGTAAAAAGGTATATCATGATAAAATCCTATTAATTACAGTAAAGAAGGACACACTGGCCATGTACAAATATGAAAAGGAGTTACTGGAATTCTACAAAAGATATTTACAACGGCTGGAGAAAGCCTGTACAGTGCTGCGCAGGAAGAAAGGAGACACCAGGTCAGTTGTATTACTAAATACCCTCATTTACGAAAATGTATGGGCACAGATCGAAGGAACTGTGAGATCCTTGGACCTGCTAAATAAAGATTTAAGTTGACCTACAAGACAATAAGTGAAATTACAGAAATAGAGGTAAGATTATTTGTTCACGTATTAATATACAGATAAACAATTTTCTATTCTATTCTATGGTAGTAGATGATAAAATGCAATGAACTAGGAAGGTGGAGGCGTTTTTAAGCCTGGGGATGTTTTCTTGCTTCCCATATATTAAAATATAGCCAAAGAATTTTGTACTCTATTCTATAGTAGTAGATGATAAAATGCAATTTACCAGGAAGTTGGAGGAGTCGTCGGTAAACCTAGCGATGGTTTTTTACTCAGGTAATAATATTAGTCATAGAATTTTCTACTCTATTCTATGGTATTAACTGTTAAAATGCAATGCACCAGGAAAGTGGACGAGTCGTCGTTGAGCCTGGCGCTGGTGTCTCTGCGGTGCATGTGCGGCGTGCTGGCGGCGCGGCCCGACTTCAACTACGGCACCAACATCGCGCAGAGCGTCGTGCCGCTGCTCGACTGCCGGCTGCCGGCAGCCGTCGACCTCGTCACCAGCTGCTGCTGCACCATCTTCCAGGAGGACAAGAAAGGAGACATCACGCTCACGGTAATACATATACGGCACCGTCTTCGCTTTCATACATATACAACGTCTTCGCTTTCATACATATACAACGTCTTCGCTTTCATACATATACAACGTCTTCGCTTTCATACATATACAACGTCTTCGCTTTCATACATATACAACGTCTTCGGTTTCATACATATACGACGCCGTCTTCGCCGGCGAAAACGACGACTTTAACCACACTATAATCAATCACAGTGTAATCAACCCGAGGTGTGCGCGTCCCGGCGCAGACCGACCACCCTCCGATGGATCACCCGTCCAATTCAAGCGATCGAAATTACGACGGCCTGGTCAAGGTTCGAACCCTCGGTACAAGCGATACCCTCAGACTAATGTCATATTCATCAGACGATAGTTAGCCTTCAGCCACTTCATAAATCCTTCCTATCGTTTGGTAAAGCTATAAAGGCCATCTGCAACCAAGAGCTTTAGAGTAGTCCGGAATAAATCTACTTTCGCAAATGTATCACGGTTCATGTGTGGAGTTATAAAACCCTTATGAATTAATGAAATATATAAGGAAATGTTTACTTATAATTACTCTATAATTCCAGATAGTTCGATTGATCAATCAGTTGGTCCGACGTCGCGGAGAGCGGCTGCGGCCGGCGGCCCTCGACTGCCTGCTGTCTCTCAGGATACGGGACGTGGACATGGACGCAGATGCAGACCTCATCCACAAGAAGAGACAAGACCAGAAGCACAAGAAGAGAATTGTCAACTTGTCCAAGAAAGAGAAGAAGGTCTGTATATACCTGACAACCTTGATGGTCTAGAAGTTCAGTACTGAACTTACTTCAGATGAAACAGGCTTCAATACATTTGTATTCATGAGTATGGTTGTTTGTGTCAGTCTGGATGTTTTGTATGTATATTAAATATTTATTTACATTAGTTGTCTATTATCCTTAACATAGTCTCTACTTAGCTTGATGACGAGATGGCGCTGTGTGACTTGTCAAGAGATATTATTATTATTATATTTTTTAGATATAAAATGAAGTGATTATTAAACTAGTAAGTGGATTTGAAAATTTTCATAAAATTTAATCCCTAAAAATTATCTATATTAACAACATATACTGTGAAAAATTCATCGTATTTCCTTTCACTTAACGTGAAACATTAAAATATAAACAGACACTTTCTATCAACAAGATTTTACTATTTTATTATATGTAACTATAATACTACAATTGTTTTACAGAGAGCGAAAAAATTAAAAGAAGTAGAACGGGAACTGCTCGAGACGGAAGCACAAGAGAATGAGGCGGCGCGCCGGAAGCAGATGACGGAAGTGACGAAGACGGTCTTTCACATCTACTTCCGGGTCCTCAAGCAGGCGCCTCATTCCAAGCTCCTCACTGCCGCACTCGACGGTCTAGCCAAGTATGTGGTTTTTTATATAATTGGAAAACTATCGAATGTAGCAATGTCGTTACTTTATACTCCCTTAAAACTGAAACACAGAGCAAGGTGTTTGGGGGCTGAAATTTATGACAGAGGTACCAACTTTTAATTAACGACTTTGTATTATACAAAGTACACCTTGGTAAATTCACATGTATTTCATTACTGAATGGATTAATTTTATTTTTTTTATTCCTATACCATTACCAACGCTATTGGAAGCGTTACGACCTTCTCCGTTAGTGATTTCTGCAGATTTATCTGTAGCATTATTCTGAGTTGGCTGCCTTTTCACTTTTGCGGCACATAAAGCCACCTACATTTCTTTTATTAATTCATGGTTTTTTCTGTATCTCATGGATGTTATGTGTCTGTAATTGTTGATTAAAGAATTTATCTATCTATACTTTGTGTGTCTCTATATGGCTATCTTTAATCCGCCATATACGTGAACGGATGCTGCTTGTAGGGACTGGTCTGCTCTAATCACTATGACTGATTTCCTCTTATTAATTATTTAACCAATTGGTTGTATACTTAATATTTTTTCTATTTGAGTATTTAATTGAATTAGTGTGAATTGGTAGTTTGTATTCACACACTTAAACTTAAAAATGTAAAGTAAGAATAAAATTATTTAAAAGAGCAACACGCAAGTTTCTTGCTCATTCTTCTTGTGATGAGACAGCTTTCCGAACGAGCGGTAGATTAAAAAAGAATGTGATGAGTATTCAAAAGTGCTTCAATGTAAGTTTTTTTTTAATAAATAATTTTCTATTCTATTCTAAAAAGCAGACGAAGTTGTCTATAAACAACTATTTTGTCAGAATAGATGCTGTAAGTGACTTTTTCTATGAACAGGTTCACACATGTCATCAATTTGGAGTACTACTCGGACCTGGTGGCGATCCTGACGCGGCTGGTGGCCGACGAGGCCGCGGACCGTCGCCAGCGACTGCAGTGTGTGAGGACGGTGCTGGCGCTGCTCGCTGGTGCTGGAGACTCCCTCAACGTAGACCCTGCAGTCTTCCACGCCTACCTCTACCAGCATATACTTGGAGTCCACGCGGGTAAGTGCCTAATGGGATGTCTAGATAGCAGTAGCTGGGGCAGATTGTTAGTTGAGGACTATTGGGTTTAATAACGTGCGAAGTTTAATTTAAGGGTGTAATTTATAGCTATACTAGCTGTGCTCGCGGTTTCACTCACGTGAAATTCATAGCCTATATGTTATACTGATATATAAGCTTATTACTGTAAAGTTTAATCGAAATCCGTTCAGTAGTTTTTGCGTGAAAGAGTAACAATCCTCCATCCATACTCACAACCTTTCGTGTTAATAATATTAACTAGCTACTAGCCCCGGCTTCGCCCGGGTGTACATGTATTATACATATAAACCTTCCTCTTGAATCACTCTATCTATTTAAAAAAACCACTTAAAAATCCGTTGCATAGTTGTAAAGATTTTAAGCATACATAGTAATAGCACAGTAATAGAGACGGCAGACAGCGACAGCGACTTTGTTTTATACTATGTAATGATGAGATACGTTATTCTGATGAAGGTATATTATTGTAGTTTCATTAAAATCCATTCAGTAATTTTTGCGTGAAAGAGAACAGAACACACGGTGTCACGTATTTGTAACTCTCAAAATCGCGAAATAAATTATTGCACACTGATATAAAGGGACAATAATGAAGCTAAAACTGACTTTGTTTATTATCAAAATTCGAATCGCATACCGTGATTATAACATCCATCCACAGAGAAAACTTTCGCGTTTATAATATCTGTATGATACAATGTAATAACAATAGTTTTATTATATTACATGCACCAATAAACATTGGTGACTGTAATATAAAAATGTTCTTTCAGGTTCGACCCATGAAGACGCAAAGATAATAGTGGAGGCAGTATGGCAAGTGTGCTCTCGGGCGCGCCGCGTGTCTTCGAACGTACTGCAGGCGCTCTCCAAACGACTGCTTACGGCCAGCCTTCAGCTGCAGCCTCATGCTGCACTTGCTTGCCTTCTGCTGCTGCATCGGCTCGCGCAGGTACCTCTATAAAATGCAAACTGTTGCCTTTAAGAGCTGTAAATTTTATTAGACACAGCTGTGCCCGCGGGGTCATCCGCATGAAATATGTAGCCTATGTATTAGATGTATAAGTTATGTTATTGTAAAGGGTCATTAAAATCTGTTCGGTAGTTTTTGCGTTACATTTTTATGAACATCCATCCAACCATACTCATAAACTATTCTACCATGTGCAAGTATCAATAACATCAACCAGCATGTCAGGTTGACCTCCATGAAGTTCCCCTGGAAACCATGGTGATAAACTCCTAGTGAATTCACAATGGGCTAACTGACTTGATCTCATGCTAGGCATGTAGATGTAAACCGTTAGGCATAGGCGGGTGTATCATTCCATTACATTCCTTCAAAAAAAGTCCTTGGCCAGGTTGCTTAGTTCAGTTACTTTGCCCTATATGATACATTTTACAAAGATTACCATAAAAATAATGTATAGAACAATTCACATAGCTCCATCTAGTCCCAAACTAAGCAGACCTGGGTACTGGACAACTGATATAAATAAATAGAAACATTTTTTTTGTAAATACATATTATACATAGAAATCACCTATATAGACATATATAATCATGAAATAATAACAATTTTTTTAGTTAAATACAAAAAATATTGTTGATTATAATCGTTACTTATTAATATTAAATTTATTAATAAATTAAATATTGTTCAACAGCAAAGCAAGCCGGTGGCGTCCCTGTTAGAGCAAGATGGCGAGTGCGCGGGCTCAGGACGGTTCGACCCGAGCTTGGGGTCGCCGGAACACTGCAACGCGCACGCGGCCGCCGCTCACGAGCTGGCCGCGCTGGCGAAACACTTCCATCCCGCAGTCAGCCATACGGCCCGCCTCATACACACCTCGCTACCGCCCGATATGACTAAACTGTGAGTAAATTCTTTTGATAATAATAAATATCGACCACGACATTTTTAACTATTCTAATGCTGTTAGCCGCAGTTGTCCTTTTACAGCTTCACTGACCGATTGTAGGCTAATGCAGATGGCACTCCAAACTCGTAGAAGTACGTATGGAGCGGCTGAAGGCCAACTCCTGGCTAGCTAGTCCCGGGCCGAGTGGCTTGGTATAGTTTTTACTTTGCCTTATTGTGCATTGGTCGGGTTTTAACTGGTTGCACTGAATATTTGTGGCCTTACACTTGTTAATGGCAGCGCAATTAAATAAAATAATTAATTCATTAATTTAAAACGGGCAAGTCAAGCAAGCAAGCAAATATAGTCTATATTATTAGGGTAAATTAAAACCTAATTCGATAAAATAGATGTTTATTCTATTTTGTCATCATCTATTCATCATTTATCTATCTACAAAATCAATCAAAATCAAAATATCTTTATTCATGTAGGTCTATTACAGACTCTTATGATATGTCAAAACTACCGTCAGTTCGGAGTGCTTTAGAGCTAAAAAGTGACAAGAAACTTACTTCTTATTCTTTTCAAATGAATTTCTACATAATTACATAAATACAGATTCAGTAATTTTTGCGTGAGAGTAACAAACATCCACACATACAAACATTTGCTCTTAAATTACTAATGAATAATTTAGTAATTGTCAAAATCTTATTGCAGAACTCCAATACAAGTGTTTGAGCAGTATGACGGTTCACAAATGGCATTTAAACCACCAGTGCCGCCTCCGAACCGCCTCATCTCCAAGGCGAAGGTGGCGAAGCTTTCTCACCAGCACACGTGGTTTCAGCCCACACTCAGGGAGTACTGCCAGAAAGTAGAAAACCACGTGGATATGACGATAAGCTTCAGTGATAGATGATTTTATACAAATGAAATAAAAATACATTATATAAAGTATTTTAAGTGTTTTATTATTAAAATATTTTACATTAGCTGTATATGATAACATCGCCAGCGTGTATACGAGTAAAATGCTTATAGTACTCAATGATGATGTAATTATTAAATTAGTGGTGGCCCAATGGTCGAAATTTGGCCCTAAATAATTTATATGATAAGTATTGACTGAGAAAAGTATCCTATATATAAAGGGCACATTTTATTTATTTTTGAGTTCTTAGAGTATCAAGCGAGTTTCAATAGTAGCAACAAAGGATGACTTGTAGACGAATATATCTACTTTTAAAAGATTTTATTTACCATCTACCTGCTGCTCTTTACCCATGATCATATCATGGCGGTTGAAAACCTAAATATCGAACTCGATAAAAATAAATAAAACGTGATAAGATTCTGTGATTATTCCAAATTGTCGGTATAAATACTACCCAAAGATGCTTTTCATCTTCAATCTCAACTTATAAATAATGACCGCGTCAAATTTAAAAAAAGTATCACTTCTGTATATCCTACATTTCTGATATATGGTTATAAAACTCTATAATGGTAGAAGTTGATGAGATTTGGGAGTATTGTTGCGGATATGCCAGTTCGCCGCCCCGTCAGCGCTGCAGCGCTTGATTCCAAGTGGCAAGGGAAGACTGTACGAGCTGAACGCGCCGCTCGCGAGCTGCTTGCAGCACGCGCTGCATTTCACCCTGTTGCGTTGCTACATACTGCTGCAGTTCAGACACCCTAGTACGCCAACTGCAACATTATTTATTGCAAAATTAAGCAAGCGAAAACGGACCCTATTGTAAAGAACAATCAGGGTTTTTTATTGAAGTAATAAACGTCAATTCCATGATATACATGTACATAGATCTTACCATTAGATAAGCTAGCTTCTTTAACATTTCGGTTACATAAAAGAATTTGATTTAAATTGAATTTGGTACACAAATAGTCTAGATCCAGAAATAGCACGTTGTAAAATAAATTACTATACTTCGAGTATCATAATTTTTTTTAAAGCTAGAAGCTTGAAAGTTATTTTTTTGGAATAAATATGACATTCAAAGATTGTCAAAAATTTACAATTAAAATAGGGGTAAAATAAAATAGTAGTAGTAGTATAATAATCACACTTTGAAAACAAAACTTTATGATAGATGTATACTCACGCGACATCTTGCTTCTCCCAAAAGTCGAGTTCACTGTCGACCTTCGCATATTCTTCCTGATGGCTCTTCAGGGCCTCCAGTCGGCTCGACACCTCCTGCTCCTGTACCGACCAGGCTGCAGCTTCTGCCGTCTCCTTTGACGTTTCCGTCTCAAGAGACTGTTGCTCTCGTTGCAAAAGTGCTTTGATATCGGCGATTTTTGTACGGGTTTCTTCCTGTTTAATTAAACATCATTATTTATCATTCTATATTTATAAATAGACTCAAAAAGTCGTTTACGCGGCCTCACATATTTTTATAAAGTACTAGCTGTCCCGGCAAACGTTGTTTTGCTTTAAAATAAAAATAGAATTTAGGGGTGGACTACCCCTAACATTTAGGGGGATGAAAAATAGATGTTGGCCGATTCTCAGACCTACTCAATACGCTCACAAAGTTTCATGAGAATCGGTCAAGCCATTTCGGAGGAGTATGGGAACGAAAACTGTGACACGAGAATTTTATATATAAGATTATGCTTTGCAAGTTGCCCTCCAATTTCAGGGCTCTAATTATCATTGCCTTCCCTTATTTTATTATTTGTGGTCGGCGCTGTATGTCATATTTCACCGGTTCCTATCAGCCGTCACATATGTATTTACTTTCCTTTTACGTATTTATATAACGCCCTCAGTGATCTAAATGTATCTAGTTAAGGGTCCAGCGTGCGGCTATAAGTGTGCACCTACCACCTACCACCTACCAGCAGGGCGGTGCGCCTCCTGCCGCCGGCGGCGAGCCAGCAGCGAGCTCTCGAGCGCGGAGTGCGGCCGACCACCACCTACCACCTACCACCTACCACCTACCAGCAGGGCGGCGCGCCTCCTGCCGCCGGCGGCTCGCTCGCGGGCTATGGCCGCGCGGCGAGCCAGCAGCGAGCTCTCGAGCGCGGAGTGCGGCCGACCACCACCTACCACCTACCACCTACCACCTACCAGCAGGGCGGCGCGCCTCCTGCCGCCGGCGGCTCGCTCGCGGGCTATGGCCGCGCGGCGAGCCAGCAGCGAGCGCTCGAGCGCGGAGTGCGGCCGACCACCACCTACCACCTACCACCTACCACCTACCAGCAGGGCGGCGCGCCTCCTGCCGCCGGCGGCTCGCTCGCGGGCTATGGCCGCGCGGCGAGCCAGCAGCGAGCTCTCGAGCGCGGAGTGCGGCCGACCACCACCTACCACCTACCACCTACCACCTACCAGCAGGGCGGCGCGCCTCCTGCCGCCGGCGGCTCGCTCGCGGGCTATGGCCGCGCGGCGAGCCAGCAGCGAGCTCTCGAGCGCGGAGTGCGGCCGACCACCACCTACCACCTACCACCTACCACCTACCAGCAGGGCGGCGCGCCTCCTGCCGCCGGCGGCTCGCTCGCGGGCTATGGCCGCGCGGCGAGCCAGCAGCGAGCTCTCGAGCGCGGAGTGCGGCCGACCACCACCTACCACCTACCACCTACCAGCAGGGCGGCGCGCCTCCTGCCGCCGGCGGCTCGCTCGCGGGCTATGGCTGCGCGGCGAGCCAGCAGCGAGCTCTCGAGCGCGGAGTGCGGCCGACCACCACCTACCACCTACCACCTACCACCTACCAGCAGGGCGGCGCGCCTCCTGCCGCCGGCGGCTCGCTCGCGGGCTATGGCCGCGCGGCGAGCCAGCAGCGAGCTCTCGAGCGCGGAGTGCGGCCGACCACCACCTACCACCTACCACCTACCACCTACCAGCAGGGCGGCGCGCCTCCTGCCGCCGGCGGCTCGCTCGCGGGCTATGGCCGCGCGGCGAGCCAGCAGCGAGCTCTCGAGCGCGGAGTGCGGCCGACCACCACCTACCACCTACCACCTACCACCTACCAGCAGGGCGGCGCGCCTCCTGCCGCCGGCGGCTCGCTCGCGGGCTATGGCCGCGCGGCGAGCCAGCAGCGAGCTCTCGAGCGCGGAGTGCGGCCGACCACCACCTACCACCTACCACCTACCACCTACCAGCAGGGCGGCGCGCCTCCTGCCGCCGGCGGCTCGCTCGCGGGCTATGGCCGCGCGGCGAGCCAGCAGCGAGCTCTCGAGCGCGCGCAGTGAGGCTGACGCCTCGGTCACTCTAGTCGCACATTCCGCCTCCATCAGCTCCCTGACGATTAAACATATATTTATATTTATTTTATTTATTTAATTTCATAGCTGTAGTCATTGCCTGATAATGCCTCGTTCAGAGGCGAAACAATGCAAACTCAGTCGCAATATGGGTCGGTGTAGATCCAGTAACGATCAGAATTCGATCACCAATAAAGGTCATAAGTAGTCATAACGCTTCCAGTAGCGGTGGTGAGGTTTCTGCACTGAATATATGTGGTCTCACACATGCAATTGGTTGGTAATTAAACAAAATAATATAGTACCATTAAATTAAAAAATGGTTTATTGCAAAAGCTATGAAACCATTGAAACAAGTTTGAAACCAGTTTGCGTAATTTTGAGTGTTGACAATCAAAACGTGTATATATTCTTCCAGTTCGAATTTTAAAATAAGCTTATTAGGCAAGTAATCACTACGATAAAATTATCGACACCACATTCTCTTAAAATGTTGTAATTTTAAATTCAAATTATTGCCTTCACTACAATGTTATGTACCAAATTCAAAAATTAAAAAATAAGTGTCGATTGTATTAGCATTAAGATTATATTGTTCTGAAGTTACAGTTAACTATGAATTTTAAATATCTACAAATAAAGAGCAAGATCTCAGGTGTGTTTTTTGGCAGGCCTAAGATCTTGTTAACCATAAGTGTTAATATTTGATTGTTAAAATTTCATGAAACAAAAAAATATACTAGTTACGTACTTTTCATCGATGGCCAATTTGGCTAGATCAGGGAACTGGGCCGACAGGTGTATGAGCCCCTGCTTGTACTCCACGCAGCTGTCCAGGGTCTTCTTCTGCCACAGTGCCAGTTCTGTCTCTTTGCTCAGTACCATCTAATATAATGACAAATTATTAACGAGTTGTATACTGCAATTCTGCCTGCGTAAAATACAGTCCCATGTAATTCGCTGATAGTTTAGCTAGCTATATGTGGGGTTTTCACTAGAGTCTATAATATGGTGTTTTTAAAGGGGATAGTAACATTGAAGACAGCTTTGATAAATCTTATTCCTCACATAGGGACCGGCATTTCTTATTGTTAATTACGTATATTATTTTTTAAATATGTTTTTAGTGTACAATAATTTGAGGTAGACATAATTTGAGCCCTAGATTTATTTCAATTAAAGTGCCCATGGTGATCACCCGGTCTCAACGTGTAAATTTACTTTCGTTGTGCAGTTACCGGTGGGCATCCGCTCTTTAACTTGTTAAGGTCTTAGGGTACCTTGGCAATTTGGTCAGCGAGTGCCCGCTTGGAGTCCTGCACTCTAAGCGCGTAGTCTACTTCATCCAGCAGCCGGGTTCGCTCGGTGACGCTCATCGTCTGCTCTTCAAGCTCTCGACGCAGCTCGTTGTTCTGTGCACTGTAAGAACAGATTCAATGACAAAATATCAATGTTTATGCAGACTTTTTGTATGAGTCTGTTGTGACCCACACAATTTGGATGCTATGATGTATGAATGATGAGTTCCAGACTTCTTCCCAATTTGATTTATTGACATGATATTTGAGTGAGGGTCGGGTATTTGAGTGTTTGCTCGTGTGTAGTTGGGCGTACCGAAGGGAAAATGGTATGTGTGGGCGTCATATGGATGCGGAGCGGTGTAAAATTTTGACGAAGGGATGGTAACATACCGTATACGAGGGCTTCCCAAACTTTTTCGTACTGCGGCGCCCTGGGGACGCCCCCGAGACGACGTCGCGGTGCGCTATGGCGTCGGCCGCACAGTTCGGGGAGCCCTGACGTACAGCATCAGTACGTGCGTGCCGGGGCGTGCGTGCGGTACGTACTTGGCGCGGTCTGCGTCTGCGTCGAGCTGTCCGCAGACGGCGGCGGCGTGCGCGGCGGCGGCGTGCAGGGCGGCGGCGCGGGCCCGCAGCTCCCGGCGGGCGGCGCGCTGCGCTCGCAGGGCTGCGAGGAGCGCGTCCCGCCGCGCGCTGCGTCGTTCCTCGTCGGCGCGCGCCGCCAGCTCCGCCTCGTCCTCCAGGCACGCGCGGTACTCTGCGCACATTACGTTACCCGCATATATAGTCGACGCGGAGGCAGATTGTCCTCCTTCACGACGACCGAATTGTTACGCTACAAAACTGACTTCTTAGAGTACCGGTTATTTCTTTGGTGAAGTTCGCTGACGAAAGAACACGTCCACCGCCTAGCCTGAAACTGTTGGTCTTTGAAATCGAATTAGACGCATCAAAGTGTGCCATGGATGGACAGGAACGAGAAGTGCAGATCGTGATTTTCCTATCAGAAGTGTTTTGTGTGCGGGTTCTCAGACCATCCATTCATTTTGATGATCTGAGAGAGCCGTCTTGAATTCAGAATTGCTTCGATCTAAGTAAGGATAGTAAACAATTCCTCAAACGTCAAATTACAATTACCCAATCCAAATACATATAACTCAAAGGTGACTGACATAGTGATCTATCAACGCACAGCCCAAACCACTGGACGGATCGGGCTGAAATTTGGCATACAGATAGATGTTATAACATAGGCATCCGCTAAGAAAAGATTATGATTAATTCTACCCCCAAAGGGATAAAATAGGGGATGAAAGTCTGTCAACTTTAAACCGATCAGGCTGAGACTTAACATGCATAAATCTACTATGACGTAGGCAGCCCCTAAGAAAGGTTTTGATAAATTCCACCCCTAAGGGGATAAATTAAGGCGAGCGAAGCAGCGGGCAAAAGCTAGTACTCTATATAAATTATGCTTAATTGCTTTAACATCAGCTTCCCATAAACCCCCAAAATAAGAAGAATAGGGTGGACATAAACAAAATATAAATGAAAAGAGATACCCTTATTAGCTAAACCCCTAGCCAATGAACAGCAGCCAGTCTTTAAAAATTTATTAGTTTCATTGTAAACACCAATGAATGAAGTGCCATTATCAAAGAAAATATACGGAGGTTTCCCTCTAGGTGACATAAACCAACGTAATGCAGACAAAAAAAAACTGTTACTGATTAAGTTACCTACTAGTTCAAGCCTTAGTTTTAAAGCAAACAACAATTGCGATATCATATATCGAGGATGTAAAATTGTCAAAGTGTATCATAATACACTGACAATTTTACATCCTCGACCTTGACGGCTTGCAGATGGAAATAGGCCTAATATAGTCTATGCTGCAGACATAGACTTTGACAGATAGACGACAGACATTCGAATGGATGACCTGGAGTTATATGTGATTTAGATAAGTTTCCCATAAGTGGGGAAGGTCTTGCATGTACACCTTATACATTGATACTATGTAGATTTAGCCAAACTTCGACATTTTATTGACCAATTAACCTTACTAATGCTAACTATAGCTGCGGAACGAAATAAAATATATTAAGCACAGTATGATGAAACAAAAAATATTTATATGAATTAAAACACATTTATACTTTAGAATCATGTTTTTTAATATGAATGCTTCTATTGAGGCTTATGTAGAATGATTATATTTGATTTTAGATTTCACTTTTTTGATAAAAAGTTATATTGAGGGTGACAATAAAAGACACACACAATTATTGTTATACAACATATATACTCATATATTTATATAAAAAAATTGAGAAAAACAAAAAAAGTTACTCACGCTGTATAATTTGTTCTAATTCATTAATCTTCTCATCATCATTGCCAAGTAATGCCTTCAAGTTCTGCAAATACTCCTCATTCAAGTCTTCAAACTTGTGTCCAGGGTCTTGAAACCTGTTTCATATGCACAACCAGACTTAGCATACTAAACATACATAATAATAATAATATAATAATCTCGGGACAATTCACACAGCGCCATCTAGACCCAAGTTAAGCTAGCTAAAGCTTATGTTATGGGTTCTAAATAACTGATACAATTACATAGATTTTTTTTTTCGTAAATATATAAATATTATTAGTAGAACACCCAGATCGATACAAACAATCATACTCGTGAATATAAATGTTTGTGCCGTGCGAGAAATCGAACCCGCGACCATCGGATGTAAAGCGGTGCGCTAGACCGCTTTACCACTGAGGTCGTCAACATACATACATAACTATGAACAGAAGTTTTCTTATTAAATAACGTAAGATCCATCAGTATTAAATCATATTTATTGAGCAAAGCCTACTCACTAAACATTACTTAAATGACAAATGTGCATGGCAATAGTTGTTCATCCCATGCATGAACATCTTTATTTAATGTTAGACATAGACACCTATATGAAGTAAATAATGTATAAAGTAAATAAACTGACTGACTGAAATTATATTCACTCAATAGACCTGTATACTGAACTGGATGGAAGGGAAAAAATGTTAATACAAAAAACTTGCCATTCATAATGCTAACTCAGAATATTTTACCTAATCCAGCATTTCGAGAGGTAATCGCGTCGCAAGCTCGATAACTCATCCTTCCCGATATACAGCCATTCATCAGTGACTGGTAACTCCTGACAAAAAAAAAACAATATTTGGTACTTGATATTAATCAATGTTTCACCCAATTTACATAAAATCTTTAGCCTACGTGTTATTCTGATATAAGCTATATAGTAAAGTTTCATCAAAATATGTTTAGAAGGTTTTTTGTTTTGTTTTCAAGCAAAATCTATAATTTTTACACACTATCATCTGTTGAAGATATCTCGCACCAGAGGGTGTCAAATAGGGATGAAAGTTCATACAAACAAAGTCACGGGCTGGTATAGTAATAATAATAGGTGACTTGCCACATGGTTGACTTTTATTTATCTGTTAAATTTAACCAAAATCTATAATTTCTACACCATACCATATCTACACATTATCGGATGAAATTCGCGGATAACAACTGGTATAGTAATATAATAATAGGGTGACTTGCCACGTGGTTGACGAGATCTAGCAGGTACGAGATGAGTGCGAGTGCGTGCGGGAACGCGTGCAGCGTGTTCACGGTCTTCAGCCACGACTTGGAGACCGTTCCAGGGTACAGCAGCCGCTTCGACACGTGTGGTAGCTGTGCAAATACAAAGATATACTAGTAAGACATGAAATGATCTGAAGCAAACCTGACAAATGTCTATACATGTAAACATATAGAACCTGAGTGTACATGTAACTGAATCGTACCGAAGAGGCCGACCACAGAGATAAAGCTATCAGCTGTATGTTCAAAAGGCTCTCATTCCCGGTGAGATTGAGAGGGGCATGCGGCGGGTGTACCTTGGCGACGTAGTTGTCTGTGTTGAGCTTGGCGTCCCTCATGAGCGGCAGCAGCAGGCCGCCCACGATGTGCACGAAGCGCGCGATGGTGAGCGGCCGCAGCACCCCGGGCCCGGCCTGCCCGGCCTCCCCGCGCGCCGCCAGCGCCTCCGCCACCCGCGACAGCGCCGCGCGCTGCCACGCCGCCGACGACACCTGCCTGCACGCACGCACACCACCTTCTCTTTTATCACATGCTTCGGGCCTTTATGTAGTAATTAGACCCCCACACTTCTAACTTCTAGTACGGCCTTAGACCAGATTTAAAATCCAGGACATTTCGCACAGCGGCTTCGAGTCCAGAGCTTAGCGAAGGTTGATTATTTATTTATTATTATTACTCTGTGATCTAGCGGTCTAGCACACCGCTTTACGTCCGATGGTCGCGGGTTCGATTCCATGCACGGTACGAACATTTGTATTCATGAGTATGATTGTTTGTATCGATCTGGTTGTTTTCTATGTATAATATGCATGTATTTTTAAAAAAAATTATCTATGTATTTGTATCAGTTGTCTAGTACCCATAAAACAAGTTTTAGCTAGTTTAACTTGGGTCTAGATGGCGGTGTGTGAATTGTTCTGAGATTATTATTATTATGTATTTACAAAAAAAAACTTGGTATTTGTTGTCTAGTACCCATAACACATACTCTGTTTAGCTGGTAACTAGATGGCATTTTGTGAATTGTTTTGAGATATTATATTATTATTACTAATTACTCACCTCTGATCTTTGATAGTGACAAAAGCCAGTGCTCTATCCAGTGAGGTTTGCCAGCTACGAGTTGCGCGATCTTCTGAAGGTGTTCTCTAAAATTTACAATACACTGTATTACAATTTGTTTTTTTTTTCGAACTACTCTAATGCTTTTGGCCGCAGCTGGCCTTTACAGCTTCACCGGACGTTAGGGGGCGAGTGCAGATGGCACTCCAAACCCGCGGAAGGATTTATGGAGCGGCTGAAGGCCAACTCATGCCTGACAGATACGACTTTAGTCTGAGGGCACCACTAAAGGTTCGAACCTCGGCTCACGCCGTCGTAATTTTGATCCCCGTTTGAATTGGACCGGGGATCTATCCGAGGGGACAGATTACAAATAATTTGTATATCATATTAACAATTAACTTATTGTTAACATATTAGAAAAATAATTAGTGTTACAGTTACAACACTATCATGCATGAATATGCATGATAGTGTTGTAACCGTAAATATAAAAACTTACAAAATATAGAATTATATTTAATAATTCTATATTTTGTAACTGTAAATATAGAATTATATTCAATATTCTACATCTTTCTGTTAACATTTTTTACAGTTACAACAGTCTAATTTCATTATAAGTGCCCTGACCCAGCTTTGCACTGGTGGCTCTTGGATCGCAACCTGTTGGGAATGAAAATGCCACCAAAATAGGCTGGACCCTTCAGGGATTATCTTGAAAAGATAGACAAATTTCTTAAAATTAAATTTTCATTTTAGATCTAATTATTTCCATATACACACAATTTTATTTAACATACTAAATCTACAGTCTAAATTATTGTGAACATTAAGAAGATGTGACACAAAAGTTGCACTGGTCAGCTAGTAGAACAAAGTAATAATAGACTTACAACAGGTGTGGTGGTTGGTCTTAAATAATGGCTGGAACGCAGCGGAGTTGTCGTTGATTGTCCATATCTATCTCCTTGCTGTGATCTGGACCTCTGCAACAATACTTTGATGTCAAGATTCATTGTTACTTAAAACTAATAAATAAAGATAAATTTAATATGTTCCTAATAATGCAACTATAACTTTTAGTAATGCAATAGTTTACTCTAAACTCTGCTGCTGACCTTATAAGCTAGTTCTGTATGGTTCACAAGATAACCATTTTGGAAAAGCTTTTGCCAGTTAGTGGTAGACAGGTTGTTGATGTAACACAAACAACGCTGGTCAGCTAGTAATATAAAAATTTCCTCTAAAATACTATACAAATTTTTGGACTAATATCTAAAAAAAACAGAATTTTTTTTACAGATGAGGCAAAAATGACCATATTTAAAGCCTAAAAGAGAAACACAATAACATTTATACATCTGCAAACAATCTTCTCCCCTCCAAACTTGAGCTAAAGAAATCCAGTAATTATTTGGCTCAAGTTTAGCTGGAAGAAACTAGTATCAAAGAGAGCTGCAAATTTAATTTAATTGAAAGCTATTGCATGCATAACTAGCCTAAGCCAATTCATAATTGTCTACTCACCCCATTGAGAGGGAGCTTCGTGGCCGATGCCTCTCTACTAAGTCTACCACCAAATGTAGTCCGAGGGGGATCCGCACTGCTGGATCGGTGGCCTGTTGTGCTCGGCCTACGAGCCTCTGTCGACAATCGGTCCGTAGAACCAGGCCTCCGGGGTTTTGGTAATAATGATGGTCTATCCAATCTAGAACAGTTCACACCGTAGATTATGATAAGCAATATTCATAATTTTAAACGTAGTTCTATAATCTAGAAAGATATACAAAAAAGAGACTTACCGTGATTTACGTATAGCTGAAGATTGTCCAGCCTGAAATCTTGCTGGTATCATGGTATTATACGTATAGAAACCAAAGTAACGCAAAGTAATACAAATTATTCAGATTTAGTTATTTTCATAAGTAAATTAAAAGAATTGAAATACAAACAACAATTCGTTAAGATTAATTTCAAAATTCAAACAAAACATTCGAACGGTATATTAAACATCAATGTCAAACGTGGCTGTCAAATAATATTTTCTAATCTGTGCGCTAAATCCCAACATGATATAATATTTGAGTATAAATTTAGGCGTAGTGATAATTTGCCTTGTTAGTTTTTACATTAATATTTGGACAGCATTTTTAATTATTTAGGCTAATTTTTTGACAAAAAAGATACATACAACTTGTATAAAATATATACGGTATAGAGTATTTATATGAGCTTTATTAAATTGACTTACTTTTAACGGGTGAAATAAACAAAACAATGACCCAAATAAAAAAAATCAAAGAAAAGGTTCAGGTCCACGTTCTAGCTTCAAAAATAACGAATTTCCATTCAAACTTTCATCCCTTATTTTATTTTAATCTCTTAAGGGTATGGTATGGTATGGTATGTTAGACTCCATTCTCCGCAATTAGCCTCACATTCGGGCCGTTGTGCGTGTAGAGCCAGACTACTAACGTAGCCAGCCAAGCTCCTCCCAAAAGCGCAGAAGACTCCTGGTGTCTTCGCAGGCTTCACGGAGCGACCTCACCGTTCCGAGGATTTGTTTTCGTTGTTCGGCCACTGCCGTGCACTCCAGGATTACGTGAGCCGCCGTTTCTTCAGCTTCAAAGCAGCCCCGACAGAGGGGGCTGTCTGTAGCATCAATTTTGTATAAGTGTTTGTTTAAGGAACAATGGCCCGTTATTGTCCCTATCATTATTTTGAGGTTTTGTCTATCTAGATTAAGTAGACGCGTTGTTAACCGATGGCTCGTTTTTGGAATTGCCACTTTAGATTGTTTGCAATCAGTGGTTAGGTTCCATCTTTGGTTTTGTATTTCGGTGGATCTCTGGCGAATCCAGGTGCGAAATTGCGAGAATGGTATTGGCATGAGCGGGAGGGGGCCTGCAACCACCATGCCGGATCCTACTCTCGCTAGTTCGTCCGCGGCGTCATTGCCATATGATCCGCTGTGCCCCTTTATCCACTGGATAATTACTCCGTTATGCGTTGCAATTTTTTCCAGGGCGATGTGGCACTCGATTATTAGTTTGTTGTTGGATTTTCTGTTCTGTAGTGCTTTAAGCACGGCTGCACTGTCCGATATGAATTTAATGTTGAAATTGTTGACCCCTAACCTGTATACAGCTTTTGCTGCCTCGGTCAGAGCAACACATTCGCACTGAAAGATCGAACTGTGTTTGCCGAGCGGTATAGATATGTTCATGTTGAGGTCAAGGGAATGTGCCCCAGCTCCTGAACCGTTCTGTGTTTTGGAGCCATCTGTGTAGATGCGTAGTTCATTTACTGCAGATTGGTCCCTTTCCTCCTCCTTCAATTGTATTTGGTATTTCCTGTTAAACGAGTGGTATGCTTGAGTTCTGTCACACGGAGCGGCAATCAAAGGTTCATATTCGATTGCTTGGTTCAGGATGGTTGTGTGAGAACTGTAATGGTTTTTGCCCCATAGACCAAGATGGTATAATCTTGTGGCAGCTATAGCTGCTTCTTGCTGTATGTATAGGTCAAGGGGTGTAATGTTAAGGGCTATTTCCATTGCCATTGTTGGGGTTGTTTTCATACATCCAGTAACTGAGGAGCATGCAAGTCTTTGGAAAGATCTTAGTTTGTTGACTGTGGTCGTAAGTTTCGACCTTGTCCACCAAACCAAGGCCCCATATACCAGCATTGGTCTTATTACTGATGTGTATAGCCAGAGAGTTATTTTCGGGGAGACACCCCATTTATTACCAAGCATTTTCCTGCATTGATAGAATGCAATTGTGCTTTTGTTAATTTTGTGATCAAGGTGTTTATTCCAGAGAAGTTTGCTGTCTAGTATGACTCCCAAGTACTTGACCTCCTCCTTAAGTTTAAGCTCTGTATTAAAGAGTTTCGGTAAGTTGAAAGTACCTGGAGCTCTTTTGTTGGTGAACATGATGAGTTCTGTTTTAGAAGGATTCACGGAGAGTTCATGGTTTTCGCACCATCTCTCTATTGTTCTGAAGGCTTCTCTCATGCGATCGCATAAGGTTCCCTCAAAATTTCCTGATATAAGTACGGCAATGTCGTCTGCGTAACCTACCGTGTAGAGGTCGTTGTCGTTGAGCTCCTCAATGAGTTCATTAACAACTAAGTTCCACAGGAGTGGCGACAGGACCCCTCCTTGTGGACATCCTCTACTTACGATCCCACGTGTGGTAGTGTTTACGGTGAACTGGATTGCACGGTTTTTCAGCATGTTGTTTATCCATTCTATGAGGGTTGTTGGTACTCCATGTATGGTAAGAGCGCGACTGATACTGGTAAAGTTCGTTTTATCAAAGGCCCCTTCGATGTCTATGAAGGCACCTAGGGTAGGCTGCTTTGAGTTTAGCGAGTTACCAATGCGACTTACGACGCTGTGGAGTGCTGATTCCGTTGATTTGCCTTCACTGTAGGCGTGTTGGTTGGTGTGCAGTGGTTTGTTTATACATATCAGGTCTCTGATCTCTTTGTCGCAAAGCCTCTCCATTGTTTTTAGTAAAAACGATGTGAGACTAATTGGTCGAAAGGACTTGGCCTGTGTGTAGTCACCTCTGCCAGGTTTCGGAATGAAAATTACTTTCACTTCACGCCATTTCAAAGGTATGTATCGGTGAGCTATGCATGCCCGGAAAAGTTGAACCAATTGTTCAGCTATTATGTCACCGCTCCATTTCAGGAGAGCCGGAAAAATACCGTCTAGTCCTGCAGCTTTGAAAGGTAGAAATGTGTTGATTGCCCATGTAAGTCTTTCTCTGTTTATTACTCTGCTTGCTATCTCCCAGTCCGAGCTGCTGGTTGTCCTACTTTCCTGGGAATTCCATGAGTGGTCATTGTCCGCAAGGAATCCTGGGAAGTGAGTTGACAGTAGTAGTTCGCAGGTTTCTGTGTCATTTGTTGTGTAGCTATTATCCGATTTTTTAAGACAGCCTATTGTGTGTTCTTTCTCTTTGGAAAGGCAGGCCTTCACTTTGACTGCTTGGTTGTTATTGTCTATGTTGGTACAGAATCGCCTCCAACACTCTTGTCGTCTGTGGCGAATTAGTTTTTTGTATTGTTTCCTTTTAGTTGTGTATTTGTCCCAGTCACTTTGTGATCTACTGTTCATAGCTGCGTTGAACAGTTTCCTCAGCTTCCGTCGATGTTTCTCTAGTTCGAAACACCACCAGTGTTGCCTACCTTTGTTTTTGGGTGTGGTAAGAGGGCAAGACCGTTCGTAGCTAGAGGTAAGTATGGACGTAATGTTGTTCGCATAGTTGTCTAGTTCCGTTCTGTCAAGGTTGTCAGGGAGGCAGAGTTGTTTCCCTACGTAAGCACTAACTAATCCTATGAATTTGGATTTGTCCGTGTTCCGGGGTATCCGTCTCGGCTGGGGTTTTGGTAGTGATATGTCAATAGTAAAACGGATCCATCTGTGATCGGAGCATGAAAGCTCGCTGGACACATGCCAATCACGAATGGACCCCGAGATGCCTGTTGATGTTAGTGTTAGGTCTATTATGGTTTGTGATCGGGCATTTATGAACGTTGGTTCCGAGCCCTTGTTTTGTAGAGTGAGATTATTACTAAGAATAAAAAGAGCTAATTCCTCACCTCTGTTGTTCGTCTTACTGTTGCCCCACAGCGTGTGGTGCGCGTTGGAGTCAGTGCCGACGACCAGCTCCAGCTTCTCCCTCTCACAGTACTCAGCCAGCTGGCCGAGCTCTGGTGGTGGTATCTCCCCGTCGCTCGGCATGTACGCTGAGGCGAGGACGATGTCGGGGAGGTGTGCTGCACTGGTAATTCTTACTGGTGTTAAATCCCTTGAACAGAATTCGTTGATTAGTGTTGTTTGTACATGGTTGGGTAAGAATACGCATGTTCTTGGTTTACTTACGGAGGTATCCAGTATCACTTTTCCTCCGCTATTTCCGAGACCACAAATTTTGTTCTTCCTGATCCACGGCTCTTGGATCAGGGCTATGGTCTCTGCGTTGTTCTCCAGCACTCTGCGAAGAGAAGCCGTCGCAGTTTGGCTGTGCTGGAGGTTGCACTGCAGGATCTTAGTCTTCCCGTAGGGGGGAGGAGTAGAGGACGCTATCGCTAGCTTCGCTCTCTCCCCCTCCGCCGGAAAGCACTCTTCATCCAGGATGAAATCCGGAGAAGGTGGATCCTGCACTTCCATCGCAGTCGGAGTTACTACTCGTTCTGCCGCAGTTACGGGAGCCACTGTCGACGTTGTCGGTTTAGGATCCGTTTGCTGCTCAGCAACTATCGTAACTTCCGACTGTTTAATATTTGGTTTTGTTTGATGGGAACCATCTTTGTCCATGAAGCGAACGTAGATGTTTCCCATCATGTAGTAAATCCTTCTTTCCTGGGCCCTTAACACGTCGACATCAGTCTCGGGAATACGGAAGAACAGACAAGTCCCTGGTGGGTCTGTCCTGATCCTCTCGTGTGTCAGGGTCCAGGAGTTCATGTTCAGGTTACTGTTCTGTTCCGAAAGAAGTTCCCGCAGTTCTGTGGTGTCCCCGGTTTCCCCTGGAACGAAGAGCAGGCACGGCACCTTCTTCGGGATGGCCGATTGTGGTCGAACGACTAGGCTCGAGTCTTCCACTGGAGAGGCCATGGTTTGGACGGTCTGTTCTAGCCAGGCTCTGGTGAAGTCATCCTCGCACCAGGTTTTGAGGACGCCATCCGCAAAATGAGCCTTGCCTCGGAATTTCAGGTCCTTTCTGGTTTTGGCTGGGAGTGTCAGGTTGGCTCTTATTTGTTGCCTGAGCCTCACCTCAATCTGCTTCCTGAGATCCTCAGCTTGGTCTTGTGTTAGGTCAGAGTAGGGTTCCACCATGACCGCAACACAGAGTTCGTTGGCCAGGTAGGTGGCAGCCGCTTCTGCGTATGTCATAGAACCCCTACCCGTCGCACCAGCGGTTCTGGGTTTTTTACCTTCCCCGGTTGGTGTGACGGTGTCTTCTGGACGTGTACGCTTTTGCGGTCTTGCCTCGTTTTTTGGGTCGTTGGTCCTGGGTTTCTTACGGCCTCGCGGTTTCATGCTGCGCTTTTGTGTGCCAGCAGCCAGAACGGCCCTCGTCCCAGTTGCAGGTGCACTGGGTCCACTCGTTGACGCCTCCCCTTTAGGTTTGGTCGTCGCTGGGCAGGACCCGAGTTGATGCCTCGCAGCATCTACCGCTTCTGCGCGTTGTGCCGCTGCCTTGGCTCTGGCTTTCATGCGCCGCTTCTTGGAGGCCGATTTGGGTTTTATTAAGGTGTTCCCTGGTTGTTTCGGCTTTGATGGTGATTGGATCGCGTCTTTCAGTGACGTCAAGTCCATAGCCTGGTTGTCCGATTCGGTCCCTGATGCCGCTGAAACAGACATCTCCTCCGATTCCACCTTGAACAGTGCCGCCAGGTTCACCTCGGATGGCTCACTCGTTGACGCAGCCTTATTAGGCGCATCGTGGAGTGAACCCTTCTTTGGTTCCCCTGGTGCGGCGACTATCTTCGGCAGAGAAGTTGGAGCTGCCTTTCTTGGCGCATCTTTGGTCGACGCTACTGGTACTTTACGGAACGCAGCCTGGGTTGGCGCATTCCGCTCAGTCACCTTTTTCGGCGTGTCCCCTGACGCTGCCTCTTCCAGCGCTTCTTTGGATGATGTGGTTGGTACTCCACGGGACGCAGCCTTGGTTGGCGCATACCGATCGGTATCCTTCCTCATCATCTCCTGCGACGCAGCCTTGCACGGCGCATCCTTGGATGACGTGGATGGTACGTCACTGGACGCAGCCTGGGGTAGCGCATCCTGTTCGGTACCCTTCCTCGTCGGTTCCTCGGACGCAGCTTTGCTCGGCGCATCTCCGGTAGAGTGTCCAGGTGCATCAAATGACGCGACCTTGATTATTGGTCGTTTTGGCGCATCTTGCGACGCAGCCTTCGATGGTCGTTGCTTTGGCGCATTCGTAGACGCAGCCTGTTGCTTCTTGTTTTTTGGTTTTATTGCCTCTAGATCCATGAGTTGGTTTTTTATATACTTCACCTCAGGAGCTCTCCACCCTCCACGGAGCCCTCACTTCGGGGACGTCATTCGTTCCACGAATGATCGCCAGAGCTACTCCCTTGGTATAGGTCCAGCAGGCTGAGAAGTGGACGAGTCCGCACGCAGCGAAGCACAGCGAGGACACCTACCTCACGAGACGATGAGGCAGGCTAGCCCCAAAGCACCGCGCCACGCCGACTGTCACCCCCCAGCTCGCCGAGCCTCGCTTGACTGCCCGCTTATGGGGAATCGCAGCCGGTTGATCGTGGTTAGCTACTCCACGACCGCCCGTTTGAGAGGAAATCCAGACCGAAGAGGTGTGTTGTGAGCAGCATACAACTACAGCCGGTACCCTGCTGCACTCAACCGCCAGGACTCCTTCATCCCTCCGTACGGGTCACCGCGCACGGCACAAACACGCGGGAGGTCATTACTATCCACCTTCAGTTTTTTGCTCGATGATGGACACGCAAGGACATGACCTCTTCATCCCTGCATTTGTCGCCCGGTAGTTTCGGTTACGTCTATTTCATAGGGAACTAGACCAATAACAGGGCGGCAACCTCGTGAAGGATATCTACCGAACTTGCCTTAAGGATCTACACGACTTGCGCTCTCCCTTAAGACCGCGCCTCCCTACCGCCTCTGAAGGAGGTGGTAGAGTAGGCCTGCGTCCATATCTCACTTTTTTTAATGAGATATGACTGCAGGCCCGCCCCAAAGGTAAATCTCTTAAGGGTAAATGTATATGACTATGGGTATGGGTATGACTTTCAGTCATTTTAGAAATTATTAACGTCTTGCACTTAAATCGATACAGTAGTTTTCGCGTGAAAGCGCGACAGACAGAATTACTGTCGCATTTATAATATTAGTAAGGATGTAAAACAACGGGCTGGAACTGGACTACAGATAAAAAAACAAAGAACACAGGATATATTCTATTATATAATTTATTATTGCTTAATTTCTGTTAAAAGTAACTTTTCGGTTTTCATGACTATTTGTAGGAAACTGGGATCAAGTAAGCACATTTTCATAAAATTTTTATAATTTTCTGACATTTGAGTTATTGATTCCGATATAATACCTGTAAAATATATAAAACTTTAAATTCATGATTTTGATTGGTAACTAAAATAGTTTATTGGTAGGAAGGTATAGAGAAATTGGTTGATCATAAATAATGTTCCCTGATAGACGTCTCCAGACGTCTGTTGGCCGCAGCTGGACTTTATAGCTTATGGAGCGGCTGAAGGCCAGCTCCTGCCTGACGGATAGGACTTTAGTCTGAGGGCACCACTAGGGGTTCGAACCTCGGCTCAGGCCATCGTAATTTCGATCCCCGTTTGAATTGGACGGGCGAGATCGGAGGGGCGTCTGAGTGCGCCGGTGTTTTTTAGTAATATGATACAATAGGTATTTTGTTTTTTTACCTTTACTAGACAAAGCAGTCTTCAAAACTTCGTCAATGTTGCGGTATTGAAACTTCTTGGTTTCGGAATTACTGCAGTTGTGGTTAATAACTGGGAAGTATTCTCCTAGTTTCGTAAAACATTGCACTGGGTTGCAATTTACTTGAAATTTCAATTTACGAATCTGAATTAGCAACGATTATGATCAAATTAATATTTAATTTATAACTCTCATCGGTAAGTTTATTTATGAAAATAAATAATAAAATAATAACAGTAGCCTAAATTACTGCTTATAACATTAGCTATCTGGGAATGAAAGTCATGTTTCAGAGATTAGCAAGAATTGACAGACGGATAGACAGAAAAACAGTTTTTTTATGTAAGTATAAGTTTTTTTATGTATATACTTTCAACTCGTTTAAGTGAAAAGCTGTTAAAAGCTGACAATTTGAAAATACAAACAGACAGTTAAATTTTATTTATTTGTATAGAATTTAAAAATGTCCAATCGTGACCTCAGTGTCGATTTAGACGTAAATGTTATAAATATCATATTTCATTCAATCAATCAATGTTATGCAGTACAGTCAATATTAAATCAATAAAAAAACTGCCGAATTGAACACCTTGATTTTGGCTAAAAAAATACTTGATTTGCTTACTTCTTCGTTTCTGTTGCATACAATAAGAATTAAAACATCCTCTTTATATATTCCTTTCATTTTGCTACTGAAATTTAAAGATTCCAGTATTTTGTTGTCATCTGTGATTAACAGCTGATCAAAATGAACTCGTAACACAATTTTTGATGTTCTAACTTCGTATTTAACCCATTTTCCAGTCTTCCATACCATTAACTTATTAATGACTGTCGAATATATATCTGTAACATATAAAGTTTTCATAAAACTTTTAATTCCACAATCATAATTATGAGACATTTTAATAGTATCAATTAAAAGTACCTACAATTCTAGCAATACATACCGCACATTTTTATTAGTTCTGGTACACTCAAAGAATCATACAATATTTTACTAACAAACTAGAGAAAAGCGGATACAATTCGCGCCAAAAATATATTTTTTTAATTTAATATTATTCACTGTATTAATATACGGTCAATGGAAGCCGAGGTTTGATTAAATGATATTAAGAATTATTTGGTTCACATAACGAATAAAAAATATATAAGGATAATATATTTTTTAAATATAATATTTTTATATTTAAAAAATATATTATCCTTGCCAACTTTGCAAAAAAAACAACAAATTTTTACTCCATTGCAAATACATCTAATAGCATAGTAGTACATCCATTGCAAATTATTTATATATATTGCGTTTGCTGTACTGCCCAATAAGTAATGTATGTAACCAACCACTCTAGTTAATAATATATTGAAACAGGTTTGTTTGGGAATTTCAATTTAGCAGTAACCATTGCTAACTGTTTGCAACTGAAACAGTTAAATGAAAAGTAATAGTGAAAGCTGGCTCTAACCCTACATAGGCTCAATCTGTGTAGTATCTGTAATAGTTATCAATGTCAATTTTCGTATCTGTCAAATTTGTTGAGTTGTTACTTGTCAACAGTGTTATTAAAAATTCGTGATCAAAAACTTATTTTCAATTTTATAATATTGAATGATTATTTATCCCAATTTCTAAGTTTTGTATACCTTATTTTCTTGTGTTATATGAAATGGCTGGGACGTATTATTTTGTCATTGTCGGTCATTCTGATAATCCAATATTTGAAATAGATTTTATTCCAGCCACCAAAGAAGTTAAGGTATTTATGGGGTAACAAAATAATTTGCTTGGTATGTTTAGCAGCATATCCAAGGTATCTAATCTAATAAAAAAAATGTTTATTTTTTTAGAAAGAGGACAACAGACATTTAAATCAGTTCATAGCTCATGCAGCTTTAGATTTAGTTGATGAACACATGTGGAAAGTTACAAACACATATTTAAAATCTGTTGATAAATTCAATCAGTGGTTTGTTTCTGCATTTGTTACAGCGAGCCAGGTAATTAGCAACAGAAATTCGTTATGTATAATATTTTATAATGGATGAATATTGAATAGTACACCTACGTGAACTAAAAATATAGGTTGATAGGCAGTGAAGGCGAATAGAATGAGCTTGATGCTAGGTCACTTGCCCAAATTCTCCAGAAATTATCCACAATGATTCCTAAATGTGTGGAAGTCAACCTAACATGGAAAATTCCCAGCATTGCAGTCACTATTCACCATTATTTACAATCTCCTCCCACAAATATGCTATACATCTGCATCTGCTTATTTGTATAGGCTTACAGGACCAGTGTAGGATGATAGGATGAGCATGTAGTGAGGTCAGTTAGGCCATTGACCATATTATAACAAATTCGTCATGATTGTTAACATAAAGAAATGCATTGAGGATTGACTTATTAGGATATATTACTTACTGGTCATGTATGTGCTGTCATTCACCTCTTACCTAAATTTAAGTTAATTATGTAAGACTTATAAGAAACATTTTGTTTATTTATAGATGCGGTTTATAATAGTACATGATGCACGAAATGAGGACGGTATCAAGAATTTCTTCACAGATGTTTATGATGCTTATATAAAATTGATGCTAAACCCATTCTACAAGGAAGATACACCCATAACATTACCAGCTTTCGAGAAGAAAATACAATTTCTTGGCAAAAAATATTTAACATAGTCAACTTATAATCAAACACTATTTTTAAGACTAATTTATGTAATTACAATTATAAGAGATGTAAATATATGTATAAAAGTATATAATAAAAAACAAATTCAATTATTATTGACAATTTATTATAAAAGGCTTCTTAAAATATCACACAACTTGTAAAGGCGGACAGCTATGCAGCTATAAAGCACTCTCTTTTATAAAGATCAAAACAATAGTCAGGGATATTTAGGAATGGTTCACATAATTACATTTATTTTGTATGACAAAATGTACAATTTTGGATTACAACCAGTTCATTAATTGCATTTGTATTTTCACATACATCCCCTGCATCTTCAGCTGTTTATTTCTAACAATTTGGTGTCCATATCTTATATATCACAGAACAAAAGTGTCAGAAGACAAATTTTATTATAGAATATTCTAGAAGAAATTTAATAACAATTAAAAACTTATGATCTTCTATTCTTAACATAACAAATTAGAAAATGTTAAATCAGCAGATTGGAGTTTATAAGCTCTTAATTCCAGCTCCCATTATGTCTCCAGCAGTATATTGTGATTGTTAGCACTCTGCATGGTTCAAAGTATATGAGCTTATTTGGTGAAATAAGCTTTTTAAAGCTGTGTTTTCAAAAATTCTGCCATATTTGTGTTGTTGCCATTCACTTCTGACAATTGTTCTGTACATAAGAGTTTAGATAGCAGAGTTATGTAGAAGTCATATTGAAAGTTAGTAATTATTAAATCATACAATTCAATTTCATATACATATAATTGTAATGATATTATTGTCAGAACTATTAATATAAGTGATTATTATTTAAAAACATGACAAAATGTTTTTATCACTATTGTTTCATAATATTCCAATTATAATCTTAATAAGCAAAATTAAATCATTCTCAAAAAAGATAAATATGAGACAGTGTCCAATTAATATAAATCAGGGAGACCAAGATCTTCATCTGGGATGCCTTCATTTGAGAAGTCATCTGTGAAAGAAAGAGTATTATTTAATAATATGTTGACAGAGAAATGATAGGTAATAATTTTTCTATATAATTTTGTCATTTCATTATTATAGCTTTGCCTTGATATATAAAATTCTCATGTCACACTGTTAGTTACCATACTCCCCTAACACTCAGTAGGTCTAAGAATCAGCTTTAAATGAAATTATTCCATATTCTTTAGTAGTGAGGTGCAAAAGCTTCGAATGATAAACAGACGACAAAGTTGAACACAAAATTACTGTAAAATTTCTACACACTAAAAAGATCGTGACATCGTGGGTTTTAGGAACAACCCTTAGGCAAAATAAGGATTGCCCTTATGCAACATTAACCCAAATCCCTTGAAAATATAAAGATTTTTACTTTTACATAAACATGTGAATTTATGTATAAAATAAAAAAATAGTGACCTGTGAAGAACTCATCTTCGTATGAACAATCAAACTCAGCACTGTGCTGAATGGTGGTTGGAGGTGGTGTGCTGGGTGGTGAGAACTGCTTGAGAATCGGGGGCTCTGGCACTGGCAGATAATCAAATAAATCTTTATGGTAATTATCTGCAATGGTAAAGTACATCCCAATTTATTGTTGTAAATAACATAACATGACCTCTTTGGTACATATACCATGTATTTCCGCTTTTTGTCTATTTATTTTTGTACTATGATGGTGGCAAATAAGCATACAGCCCATATGATGGATTACCGTAGCCTATGGATGCCTGAAACACTTAGGAGTGTACAAGTTTTTTAAATTGGAAGCTAACATCTAATCTTCCATTCTGGAACATTGTTCTAGTAGTGTAAAGTGTAGAAGTGAATAAATATATTGCAAATTTTTGTCTATACACAAATAATATTTCTATAATTAAATAATAAGCATTATGGATGGGTTTTAAATATAGAAAATAAATAAGCAAAAATATAGTTCTAAAATTAAACAATAATAATAGTAAAACAGAATACTAAAAAAATACATTTTTCAGAAAATGTCAACAACATGTAATGTTGTTAAATGTAGTTTATTTTGATGTACCTTTTTCTTATTTCTTATTTTTACTGTCTCTATTCACCCAAAGGTAGTCTGAAAGAGATTGCTTAGAGAGAAGACCAGCTTTTACATCAGTTTATGTATATTTTTTTACCATTTTGTTTTTTTTGTTATGTAATTAGCAATTATCATCATCTCAGCTTCGAAGAGGTCCATTGCTGGACAAAGGCCTTCCCAAAAGATCTCCAATTGGTGCAATAAAGAGTATAAATGTACCCACCATATTTGTTGGATGGTTTTGTGAACAACAACTCATCACTGTTCCATTCATTCTCATTAGTCTTAGTGTCTGCATCCGTGTATATGAGAGACCCCATGTTCACGGCTCGTGGTGTAAATGCCCTCCTTGTAGGACTACTTTGAAGAGCTTTACCAGCGTTTGAGAGGAAAGACTTCTTCGGCTTTATGTCTCCCTTTTTCAAAGGCTCATTTGGCTTAATGGGGCCAGTGGTAACGGTTTTCCCCATATTTTCTATAAAAGTATATGTAAGAATTTTATTTAGCAATGATATACATCCTAGCCTACTTTTTTTTTCTTTTTGGACTACTGTAATGCTGTCGCAGGCCACAGCTGCCCACACAGCTTCACGGGATGATAGAGGGCGAATGCACATGGCACTACAAATCCGCGGAAGGACTTATGGAGCTGCTGAAGGCCAACTCCTGCCTGACGGATACGACTTTAGTGTGAAGGCACCGCTAGGAGTTGGATTGACTTGGTTCAGGCCGTCGTAATTTCGACCCAGAACCCAGACTTAGTCGTGAGTTCGAATCGACAGATATCAAATTACTTTGTACGTGCCCTTTCATATTTCTATTTGATGATAGAAAAAGCGTTTTTAAAAAATACAAAATAGGTAGTGGGTAGGCAAAATGTTCTGTTCACCACGATGTCGACATTTAACAATGCTTCTGACCACACTATCTAGAATCAGAGTCGTGACAGATATAATAAGATAATCTATAGTTATTACTTACCAATGTTCGCTAACGGCTGGCGCGAAACATTCTTCATAGCTTGTCTCGTCAGGTGATCGCCAAATATATCAAAAAGAGATTCAGCCATATTTGTCTCGTAATAAGTATTAATATTATAATCTAAAGTCAGCAAAACAAATTAGTTAATTAATAAAGTTTAATTTTATGTACTTTGTTCAAATCTGCGATATTCAGTTCAACGGCTCCAAATTCGTATACAATTTTTTTTTACGAATTCTATTTGTTATTGTAAGTTGTCAGTTCTGTGTCATTATGTCAAGTATCACTCAGTCACACAATCAATCTATGACTGCAGGAGCGCAGTTGCCTTTGCCTTTCCTCTAGAGTACGACAAAATAAAAAAAAAAACAATCAAGCTGTCAGTTTTTTGGTAACTTTTTATCAGTCAATGCAGCATTCCTCTTTTGTCAACAAATATGTTTTGATTTTAAGTCTTCTCTTAAATTTATTATATTCTGGCAGTCTAATTACTTTATTGTATTGAAATTATTTTTTAAATATGTCTAATCCGGACGATAAGTCTAATAAAACTAATGGCTTGGACGCCGACCCTTTACAAAGACTACCATCATTCAAGGCACCTCGCGATCTTACATTGGGAGCGAACAAACCCAACAAAAAAGTATTTACCCCTAATTTGAATGTAACTAGGAATAAAAATAAAGGGTGAGTATTTTATATGATAATCGGGAACATGATATTATTTTAATTTCTACAAAGTAATAAATAAAAGTACTAATAAGCAATGTAATTTGCAGGCCTTCCGTAAACATAGCACGAGATTACAAGAAAGACGACCGAGGGCGAAGAGACCGTAAGCATGATCGTAAAAACTTTAGAAATGGACCCAACATTATAAAGTCAGGAGGCGTGTTCTCAGAAGGTAAATATAATAATTTCAACAGTTAAACTTAGTTAAAAATAACATAGAGATTATAACAATAAATAATTTTAAGAAAGAACAGCTTCACCTTTGTTATCACCTATATACATACAAATAAAATTGAAGTGTCCGTTTGTAATATTGAAATTAATGTTTTTTACGACACGCATATGAATATGGTACATACACCAAAATAACATATTTTACAATTTTTTTCTCTTTCTGTTTGTCTGTCCGTTTGTTCCGGCTAATCTTTGAAATGACTGGACCAATTTTGATGGGACTTTTTTTGGCAAGTAATAAGGAGTAACTTAGGCAACTATTATTTTAGATAAATAAAGTTAAATAGTTATAAAAAATATATATAGCTTTTTATAAAAAAATAAATATAGTTAGTCTGTGTGCAACAATTAAATTTGACCAGAGGCTGATGTGCAGAATTATAAATAGCATATATATATATATATATATATATTTAATGTATATATTTAAACATTATGTAAATATTTCTGTTAGATGGTGTAATTGTGTCAATTAATAAAGGCTTTGAATTGAATAGATTATGTATGAATTACACATATTATTATAACATTTTTTGTTACTAGGTTTGGGCAATTCTGAAAGGTACAACAGTCGCATATCATATGGCAGGGATCCCGAGCCTGCTGCAGCATTACAGAAACCCACAATAAGGGTGAAGGATGTCATCAAAGTATGAATATTGATATTTGTAAATTATGTTTTAAAATTCTATTTTGTACTACACTTGGCACCCACCATTGCTTTGCTCTATGCACAGTGTATAATTATATTATTAGAGTTTCTTCTTCTTTTAATTTGAATGGCTTCCACCAAATGAGGTCGGTTATTTTGCCAATGTTGTGGTTAGGAAGACAGTGGTGTGGTTTATGGTTTTCTTAATTGTGTTAGTAAAAAACTGTTTCATTAGGCTGAGAACGCTAAAAATAAAGACAGCACAACATATGTTAGCTTACAATTAAAATTGTAGTAATTATTAGAGTTTAAGATCTTTAAAATGTAACTTCCTTGTGTTCAAAGAATTATTTTTCAACCATTTTATTTATTTATAACAATTTACATTTTGTTGAATTATTACATAGTATGAATTATAGTTCATTTGTCAGCAATGTCTAGTAAATGTTTAAAATAAATACCTATTAAAAAATTATGGGTACTAGACAACTGATAATTGTTTTAGCGGGAGGAATCGAACCCGCTACCATCAGAAGTATACCACTGTGCTGCACTGCTAGACCATAGAGACCATCACTGATAGAGATGGTGAAAAACATATGACATACATAAGCGGCTGACAGCACCCTATTTGAATAAATTATTTTCAAAATCAACTTTATAATTAAAAAGCACCTAGTTGTTGAGTAGAGGTAAAAGTTATATACTTACTGTACTAACGTTAGGATGGCTGGAAGAGATCTCTTGCAGAGATAAGCCCACCCTTGCTCACAGTTTTGTATAACTGTCTTTGTCTATTAATGTAATAAGTGCAATTTATTTGCAGATTGACAAAGAATTAGAAGAGCAAAAGATAAAATCCGTGGTAGGAGATAGCAATTATGAGGAAGATGCCAGTGAGGACTTCAAAGAAGTTATTGAGAAGGACGCCCCCGTCAAACTACCCATGGACGATGGAGGTACAAATACCTATGAATATGTATTACTAAATATGGCTATAGTAAACTTAGTCCATCTCTATACCTGTGATATATAGAATAACATTATTTCATAATGTTTTGTTTATAAAATAATTGGATTAATATAAATAGAAAATTCTTAGTCTAACTATAAAATTAGTTATGCTGTCTCGGAGAAACAGTGGAATACAAAAATTCCAAGTTTTAAATATAATTGTTTTACTTACTGTTATAGATGAATATGACCATTCAAAAGTGCTTATTTGAATAAATTATTCTTGTAGTAAAACTTAACAATATTTAGTATTGAATTCCTAGTAACACATAACAATTATTACACATATAATATTTTTTTAATCTCCTGCTTATTCGAAAAACTTAAAAATGTAAGCTACATTTTTAAGTTGAAATGTGTGAATACTAACTAACAACTAAAGTTAATTCAAAGTCAAAATATTAAAAGACCATATTAAGATTTTTTTTAATATAATATAAGACAGTGAAACAGCTATGCCAGCGAGATGAAATGGAAATATTAACTGGTTAACTCACTCTTCAGTCATCTTCCGTCTTGTAGGCTGTTCGCAAAGCCAGGTGCGGTCCACCGCGAGGGTAAAACAGGAGTTGGAGATCAAGAGCGAGCCTGGAGACGATGTAGACTGCGCTAGTAAGATGCATCACATTGTTGTCCATCTCAATATCACTGAGTCGACCATATTGTTGTATATATACTGTTTTAAATTTGACGCGGTCTGTATTTATATGTACCCACAATTAAGAAAAATCACGGTATCTTGGTATCTTACTCTAACTCAATAAAAATAAATAAAATGTGGTAAGATACCAAAAAACAGGTGTTCTTTCCTAATTGTACGTATTGTTTTATATAGTTTATTTCGAACTCTGTACCTTTGAAATAGCATTAAAAGTTGGAACTGAGATACGCCCTTTTTGGGTTTAAGAACGCTATATCAGTTTATTTTTAAGGATAAATTTCTCAGTACAAAGATTATAATAATTTTACCTTATGTAGTGGTAATAAAGACGTAAATGCTATGTCGACTCAGTGTGATATGAGTGGACGTTACTGTTGCGCAGTTCCCGGGTGCCGTGTAGATCCTTCTGCATGGTTAATCGGAGCAGCTACATCAGAACCAGTTCAAACTTGGAGAAACCTATACGAGAAGATTTTTTTGTTTTATAGCGCTCGTAGTTAATCATAATAACAATTTATATTGTAACACCACTGTAGAGTTATATATGATGTGATGAGGTGTCGCTACTTTATTTGTTTCCTGTAGTATGTAGACAGTGAATATACAGGTGTAATAATTGATCTACATTAATAAGTCACGTCGTCACATTGTGGAATAACCAGCAATGGTATTTCTAAACCGATACAATATTAAAACTGTCATGAAAAGAGCTTATTCTTTCTTAAAAACCCGGCAAGTACTTCCAATTCGCCTGATGTTGACGCCACAGAGTATGTGGTTGTAGCCCATTCAAGCATTAACGATATAATTCCTTTGGAAAGTATACACTCTATCCTGAGGAGATAAAAATCATCGCTTCTAAGAATAACCTTCAATTCTTGTCCCTGACGGTTCTAACTAGATAATTTTGACAAAGGGCGAGCACAGTAGATATATATAGGTCACAATGCTTCAGTCTCAAGTACTTGACGATAAGCCCAAACCCCTCAATAAATAAAAAGCTATTGTGTAAATGAAAAATAATGAATATATTTTAAAACGGCTTGACCGACTTTTATGAAATTTTAAATGCATATTCAGTAGGTATGAGAATCGGCTAATATCTAATTTTCATAGCCTTTAGTGATAAGGGTAGTCCACCCCTAACATTGATTTTTTTATTTTTTGGACAATTATTTTTTATAATAAGTCATTAAAAATTGTGTATGTATTTTTAATGTATTATAAAAAAGATATTTGATAAATAAAATAGTATATTAATATTAGTCTTGGTAAATTAAGTAATTACATTTTTTTGACTTCAAAATAATGATTCTGTGTATTCTTCTTATCTCGAAAGCATTCCGAACTGACGGTAGATTTGACATATCATGACAGTCTGTAATAGATCTACATGAATAAAGATATTTTGAATTTTGAATAGAAACTAATTTTAATGTGTAAGTAATTTTGAACAACTCACGCAGCGCCGTTATAGTTCTCTAGTGTTTCTCCAAGTTCTTGTATTTTACAGATATCTCGATACATTTATTGTGTGTTCGACATGTCTATGTAACCGACTTCAAAAAAGGAAGTTTATGTTTAATCGTTATATATATTTTTTAGTTTATTATTAAGAATTTGTAATTAATTAGTTTGTAAGCTTATATCTAGATATTGCGTTTATTATTTATTATTCAGTGTTACTGGCTTTTCTGCTACTTTATTATGGTACGTGATTGCTAACAATTCTCTTTTCCAACAGATTATTTATTAAAAAAATACCTCCCTTTCTTTTATGAAAATTATGTTTTCAGTTATGTGTGTTTCTAAAACAAACTTGTTTAAAGAAATCTGTCTAGTGTGTAACGTTGAACCCCTAGCGGTGCCCTCAGACTGATGTTGTATCCGTCAGGCGGGAGGGCCTTCAGCCGCTCCATAAGTCCCGCGGGTTTGGAGTGCCATCTGCACTCGCCCCCTATCATCCGGTGAAGCTATAAGGCCAGCTGCGACCGACAGCATTAGAGTAGTTTAAAAAAAGATGATGCGGAGATAGCTTATGAATTACTTTATTAGTTGCAAAGTGTAATTAAGGACTTCTGGTTTCAATAATTTTAGAGTAGCCCGAAAAAACATTTGTAGATTTACATGTTTTAAATGAGAATTGCAAGCAATCGCTTTACACTATCCTCTGTCATTAATATTTGCACTAAAATAAACAGTAATAAGTGCTATATTTTTAATAAAACCAAAATGTATAATAAATTCTTCTTAATTGCAGTTGTCGCTGACGAGAGGAAGCCGTTTGTAGATGTGAAGCAGGAGGCGTATGAAAATACTGATGTGGTTAATTTGTTGAAGACTGATCAACCCACGCTTATATTGCTACAGGTAACTGTTATAGACCTCGGTAGTTTAGCGGTTTAGCTCATACCCTTACGAAGGTTTCCGGTTTGATTCCTCGCACATTACAATCTTTTATATTTATGGGTATGATTGTTTGTATCAGTCTGGTTGTTTTCTATATATATTATGTATGTGTTTACAAAATAATGTATCTATCTATTTATATCAGTTGTCTAGTACCCATAACACAAGCTTTGCTTAGCTTGGGACTAGACGGCACTGTGCGAATTGTCCACGGTTATTATTATTGTCATAGTGATAATAAATGAAAAGAAAGAGATATGCTTTGTAGACATTTAATACAACAGTGCGTAATGATTCAATCATAGTCACGCTGTGCAAATCCTAAAATATAATATATTTCAGTTGCCGGACAGCCTGCCGGGTCGTGGGGGCAGCGTCGACGACGAGGCGCCGCGACGGAAGCACCCCGAGGCCTCCACCTCGGCCGGGGAACACACGGAGGAGAAACCGGTATGTAAGGTTGCCAGGAAGCAATTACTATTTAGCGATAAGGCTAATTTCGAAGGTGATTAACAATGAAAGTTTACCTGTTTACTGTAGACATAAAATATTTGAAAAAATAATTTACTAAGTAACTGCCACTAACGGAAAACTAGTCCTACCCACATTTTAATGTTAAAATCTACATAAAGGGATTACTACTGATTTTACTGCTAAGACTAGTAGAAATGTAATTTTCTTTGTGTTCAACCAAAGTTATAACTTCCCTCACAAAAGTTAAGTATCTATATGCTTCTTTATTTGTAAAACTGCTTAATAAATTTGTTAAATCATATTTATTGAGCAAAGCCTATTACTCGCTAAACGATTACTTAAATGACAAACCTGCATGGCAATAGTTGTTCATGCACGGGTAAGGGTGTTCACAGTCACCGGACAGTTTAAATTATCAAATAATTGTGTATAACAGGTGGAAAACAAATGTCGCCTGGCGGACTTAGAAGAAGGCCGGATTGGAAAACTGCTGGTGCATCGGTCGGGCCGTGTGAGTCTAGCACTTGGTGATACCATATTTGAGGTAATTAATATGTATTATATTTAAAACTTATATATTACTAGCTTTTGCCCACGGCTTCGTTCGCGTTAATTTATCCCCTTAGGAGTGGAATTTATCAAAATTCTTATTTTTAGATGCCTACGTCATAGTAGCTTTATGCATGGAAAGTCTCAGCCCGATTGGTTTAAAATTGACAAAGTTTCATACAAAACTTTCATCCCCTTGGAGGTAGAATTAATCAAAATCTTTTCTTAGCGGATGCCTACGTCATAACATCCACGTGCATGCCAAATTTCAGCCCGATCCGTCCTGTGGTTTGGGCTGTGCGTTGATAGATCACTATGTCAGTCACCTTTGAGTTATATATATTTAAGAAGATACTGGAAGAAATAGTTATTTAGCGATAAGGCCGCTCATTGTTACCTCTATATTGTAATTCTATTGTTTTTTTTTATATTTGGTATACATATTAATTTACGTAATTGTTATTTTCTTTCTGTAAAACTTTCTTTTGACCAAAAAAAAAACAATAATTGTAATCCAACGCGGCACATCGAGGCAGCGTGTCCAGGATACTCCCTCTCTGAACGGCCATACTTACCCTCATCAAAAACAATTTCGCCAACCAAAACGACCCTTCCAGATTCTCGAGTCTTGTGTATCTGAGCTTCGAGTATATATTAAAACTTATGTAATAGTATATACAAAGATCCTGGGTTCAATTTATCGCACGGTGCAAACATTTGTATTCATGTGTAAGATCGTTTGTATTGATTTTGATGTTTTCTATGTGTAGCGAACTCCTCGATAGGTTTTTATACTATTTTTAAATTTTATAATAATATTCTTTGACATATTCTTTATTGTTCACTTTCTATTATATATCGCTGTCATACTAGTCGCATTTTATTTAATCTCCGTATTTTCCTCATTAAAACCCTCAGCACCTCTCACTCATCAGACACATTTGATACCTCCGCTTCACTATGTATATAACGTATGTACTTTAAAAATTGCATTAAGTAATTATATTAGTTGTCTAGTACTTATAACACGAGGTCTGGCTTAATTTGGATCTAGATGGCCCTGTATGTATTGTCCAAGTTATATTTATATTTATTTACTATCTGTGCCTGCGGTTTCACCGCATATTATTTATACTATGAGAATGTATAAGCTACATATATAACTGTAAATTTTCATCAAAATTAGTTCTGTAGTTTTTCCGTGAAAGAGTAACAAACATCTATCCATTCATACTCATAAACTTTCACGTTTATAATATTAGTAAGTTTATATAGGCGATGCTTCCTTCCAACTGGACTGTCAATGGTATAAATTAAATAAAAAATGAACTCATGAAATTTCTGTCTTCCAAGGTATACTCCGGCACCAAACCAGCATTCTACCAGGAAGCGGTGTCTGTGACTGCTGATGATGGATCACGCTCTGCCAAAATGGTGGCACTGGGCCCCTTGCAGCACAAGCTGAACCTCGTCCCCAACTGGGAGACCATGTTCCAAGACTTACCTGTCTAGAACTTACTGTATATTATGTAAATATAATTATATTGTTATATATTGCTACTGGTTTTTTTATTTTGTGATAACTGGAACAAGGCACTAGTCTTGCACATAATGGTTCTCGACTGGGATCAGTTTTAGTTTGTATCTTGTTGTGAACGAGTTCGCTCCCAACTCGAGTTAGAGAAAGGCAAGGTTGGGCGACTAAGGATAGGCTTATAAGTATTATTTGCTGCAAAACTTTTTTATTTTAGGAAGTATTTTTGCTTTTTTCAAACGAACTAAAGAGCGACAGATCTGTGAACTAGTTCACATAGTTCATCATTGAGAGCGCCCTTCAGATCTGCTACTTTACTGTAAAAATTGTAGAATTGCAGAAAATTGAAGTACAATTTCCAGATACGTTATGTGTCCCAACTTCCTTAAATTAATTGTTTGATACCTATAAACTATACTGTAAAGAAACTACTTTTTCTCTGCTCTCGTGTGAATGTGGATAAAGTTTTATTGCAATAGTATGACAGCGCATAGTATTCACACAATGTCCACTAAACAATAATATTTTTACGGTGCAGAATAAAATACACTATTTTTCTGCATACATACGTGAAAGTGATTGTCTATATACATATTAAAATGTAAACAAATACTATGTTTATTCAGAGGACAGCTATTTCCTTATTTTTAAATAAGGAAAATAGGCCTTCCGTTTGAAATCTTGGGAACTCCAAGATTTCTCTATCTATACATATTTATATAAACATTAATTTTAGGTATAAAAATATTTCGTATAATAGATATATGCATATAAAAAAGAGTGTATAAATAGATACACCACACTACAGGCAGCTTGTAGTGGGGAATTTTGTCTTGTATTTCAGAGGATATAAAAAGCTATAAGAAAAAAAAAATATCAAGTAATTAAAAATACAGGTCAATGAAGATTGAAATAGTTTACAATATACCTATTTTAATTTTAATATTAGAGTACTACATACAAATAACAAATATTATTTATATTTAACATAAATAACTCCCTATTATATTTATTTTTTGAACAATATGTGAGTGTGATGTTATACAGATTTCGCAGCTGTATCTTTAGGTGGGTTCGCTGGAGTTTCTTTTCCCATAAACTGATTACCATGTAAATCTATGGCGAAATTATAATCAATTGGATTAGCGAGGGCATGATCTATTGCCTCATCCAGGTTCTCTGGTGTTATAAAGGTTTTGCTCAATTCCTGGAACAGAAAAATGGTAAAAAATTAATAGATATAAAGTTAAAATGAATGTATAATAATTCTGTACTGTTTTAGTGCTTCAAATATTTATAATGTATTTTATTTTGTTGAACATGTGAGTATATTCTTATTACTATAATTATGCAATAACTCTCCACTGGCACCATTGTAAATTGTAGTACAGGTGCAGTGCAAAATGTGTGTAATATTTCATTATCAATAAAGATATTTTTTTTTTTCTGAAAACTAACTTTAGATTCATAAATGTACTGTTTTATGTATTCCTTACCTTTTGTATTCTAATTTCTTGGGAAACTTTTTCAATTTTTTCTTTCAACTCCCTATCCTTAGCTTCCATTCGAGCTAATGCATATTCCTCCATTTTGGCCAGTTCGTTCTTTCTCCTCTCTTCGCGTTCCAGAGCGACCTGAGCGTTCCAGTTGTCGTTTATTTTTACACATTGCTCCCAATCTTCAGCTTCTAATTTTTGGGACATCTCCGAACTGGAACTGCTGCGAGTAGATTTTTCTTTGATCATTTCCTCATGATAAAACCTCCTGATTGCTCGCATCTGTGTTTTATAGTTGTTATTTATTCGTAATAGCTCTATACGTTCTTCTTCACTGATCTCTGGACGTTTCGGAATTCGATATATTTTACTTTTAGCGACCGGCAACCAACGAGGTTTTCTATGTGCTTCCGCGCATTGTATAATTATAAGCCAGGAACGTTTTAGGAGATTATTTTGAGAAATCATAATTGTAAAGATTTCTGTTTTACGGGATGTAGATAATAACCTAAAAACAAAATAAAGAATTTTTTTTTCTGAGATGGTTTAAACGAAGTGCGTGTTTTTAAACATCTATAAATATTTGAAGGTACAGAGTAATTTTATAATGTTTGTATTGTCTGACTGATTGAACAATGACAATATACTATTCAGTCCTTCAGTCAAGGTCCTAGATCAGGCAGTTGACAACTGTTATAGATGTTACTGTCAAAAAAGGCCGGTCTGTTCCGATATTGATATTGTTTATACTTATTTTTGTTCTTATATAGAAACAATCTAATTTATTCTTTGATTCATTGTCTTCAAAATTATAACAAATGATAAAAATATCAGCATTGAATGACGAGATAGAAGAAGAGAGTGGTTCCGAGGAGGAAGTAACCAGGGAAGCTCTAGAACAAATTGCACTCCAACAGTATGCAAAAGCTCTGGATTTGCAAAGAAAAGGGAACCTTAATGATGCTACACAACTTCTCAAAGATCTACTGGATACCGAGTTGCTGTATGACGTCAAGAAGCCGGCAGAAGGTGAGAAAGTTACAGGACCATTGTTCAACTTAAAATACTTGTGCTATAAAAATCTTGCAGCCATGTTGAGTGCTGCTGACGAGATTGAGGCCGCTATAGATTGTTATTGCTCAGCTTCCGAATTAGATGACACTGATATCACACTTTGGCACCGTCTTGGTCAACTATGTATGAAAGCTAAACGGTTTGAAATGGCTTTACACTCGTTTCAACAAGGTGCTAATTGTAACCCACGCCATTGGCCCTGTCTTGACAAGATTGTAACTTTATTATTGGGCTTAGATTGCAAAGAGGAGTGCATTTCAACTATATATGACACACTGCAACTCGATCCTGGTTATTTAAGAGGTTTGGCTTACAGGAAACACATATATACAGTTTATCCATACATAAGGGAATATATGGAATACCTTAATCCAATATATAAATGGGTAGAAAAGGATGATGAACCAATTGATGATGAGAAAGCACAGAAATTATTAAAAGAAGCAGATGATATAAATGAAGTATTTTTGGAGCAGCAACGAGCTCAACAGTTCAAGTATGTTTTGCCAGATTTAAAATTAAAAACACCAATAACTAGTCTGACATGGAAATCTGTCGGAGAGTCACTTGTAAATATGCATAATTACATGACTGATAACTGTTATAGTCATGCTTGTCGTATTGAAATGATTTTTGAGAAGGAAGAAAAAGAGGAGCCTATGGAGGTCTGTGATGAACCCAAAGAAATTGAACCAGTTGACAGTAAACCAGAAGAAAATAATGTGGACACTGAAAAAAATGTTGAAATAGTATCTGAAAATGAAAACAATGATTTATCCGATAAAGATAAAGCTGCAACTGACACTGAAAAAGTTGAGAGTGATGTGGAGCTTGTATCTACAGAAGTAGCAACTGATGCCCAACCTGAACCAAAAGTACAAAAGAAGGCTCCAGTTAGACGACGTGGTAGTGATCTAAGCTTTTTGCAACAGTGGGAATGGTGCAATAAGCGCCGTTCTGGCCGCAAAAAGACAGTAAATAGGCAAGATCAACTTGATGATAATATCTATGATACCTTAAGAAGAATGGTGCCTGCTAGTTTAGCTCCAGATTTAATACCGAAGAAAGAGAACCAGGTGAATGAATCAATTGACATGACCGATTTAGACAAACTGTTTGAAGGAAAAGAAAACAGTGAGCAAAAGGAAAATGAGAAATATTTTAGCACAGAAATGGAACAAAAAGATGTAAAACAGTTCATTACAAAATATACAGAAAATAAAAAAGACATCATTGATATATTAAAGGATTATTTACTCATATTAGCTAAGAAATGGAAAACAATATGGCCTCAGGATTTGCCAAAAATCTTCATTGAAGCAAACAAATGTTATAATAATCATATTGATATTCCATCATGCACAGATAATAATAACTATGAAGACTCAATCAATTATACTGTCATTAATATACTGGCAGAAGAGTTTTCTGTAAATGAAAAACTAAACTTAGAAACAGATGAAAAACAATTTCATGATTTAAGTGTCATTGAAACAATTGGAATAGGTTTAAATCTAAAACCGCATATATATTCTGGTACTGATTGTTTGGAATTAGTGTTAAGGCATCTTTGGGTGAAGCTACATATTCACATTTTGAATAAATCTGAGGAATTTGGTTTAGATTGTCTGTATCAACTATTATATGAGTTTGAAGCAATGGGAGATCACCATGAATCGTATAGTTTAAATGTTGCTAATTTTACATTTAAACCAATTATAAATAAAACTGAGATATTAGCATCTATTAAATTTTTAGAAAGAAATAAAAAATTAGCAACAGTTGTGGATCTTTATGATAGAGGTTGTTATGAAGATGTGTTGGCAATTATTTTAGATTCCTTTGAACACTGTAAAGATGTGGCTAGAAATCAAGAGGATAATATGTCTTTAGACTTTGCTGTGCAATTGTCTATAATACTAGATACATATTGGGCTTTGAATAAAGCAGATGAATGTTTCAAGTGGTCATTAATTTGTTTGCATGAGGCATTAAAGCATTACTTTAGGCATACCACAGGATCAGCAGAATATGAAAAGTGGACTCTAGCTGTTGTCAAAATTCTCTGTAGTATTGATCATATACTGGCTACTGAAGGTCCATCTTGTTTGGATGCAGTTTCTCAAATAGAACTTAGCCAGGGTCTTGATGATTTAATTAGAATAATTGGTCATCAAGTGGAAACTAATGCAGCAGAAATGCCTTTTGGAACTGTAGTTCCTTGGATTGTAATGCACTATATATTACAAAGAGAGGAAGATCAAGGTAGGGGTAGGACTGCCAATGATAAAGAAAAAGTATCCTGTGATGAAATTCCTAATTCCTTAATGTTATTATTTATAGCACACGAACAGTTAGGTGGTAGGCGTTGGTGCTGCAAATCTGATGGCAAACTTCTCTATTTCATTCTTGACACAGTTGTTCCTAGATTACGTTCCCCATCTTTATCAAAATCCTTAGAACAAATCTGTCAATATATGGAACAATGTGTTTATTGTCTATTTGGTCATCCTGGAAAGAAAACTAAAGTAAAATATTTAATTGATCACAACATTACATCTTTTCCGTTAGATTGGAAAAGAGCTCAGCAGGTGTATGAGATTTTTCGACCTCCTATTCTTCCAGCTCTGGAGGGCAAAATCACTGGTATCACAACAGAAATCGAGCAATTATTCCATCGTATTTTAGCTTTACTACCTCCTGAAAACGACCCACAGAAATATGTATTTGAAATGAAGAAATACATTAAAGGAGCTGAAGAGAAATTACCTTCAGTGCCACCACTTTTACCCTATAAAATGAAAGATATTTATTTTCTTCTTGGTGATTATTATTTCAAAAAGGAAGAGGCAAAAATGTCAGTTAAATTTAATATGCTTGACATAACAATAAACAATGACCGCCTCGAATCATGGGCTGAAATATCGTTAGCTAAAGCTGTAAATCTAGAAAGAATACTAAATTCATGCAAGAATTTTAATAATGAAAGAGAGTTTTTAAATCCTGCTAAATCTATCATAAAATGTTTTAAAAGATCACTGGAATTAGACCCAACTCATTGTAATATGTGGATTGAATATGGTATATTTGTGTACACAGTTCATTCATTTTGTTCTAGGCTTTTAAAACAGGCTAGTGAATCACTGAGCATGGAGGATTTTGAAGCCTTAGAAAAACAAAAAGAGAACATGTTAGATACCACACAAAAGTGTTTTACAACAGTACTTGGTGATCTTAATAGTAGCAATGACACAGAAAAAGCCAACGAAGATTCTTGGCTTCATTATTACATGTTGGGAAAAGTAGCTGAAAAAAGAAATAAACCTCCGTCTGTATACCTAGATTATTACATGCAAGGCGTGAAGAGTTTACAAGAGACGGATGCGACATATCCACTAAAAATTAATTATAGCTCACCAACACATCTATGTATTGAAGTATTAGAACTTCACTATAGAATTCATGCCTCTATATTGAAGTACATAGAACAACATGAAAATAAATGTATTCCATCATCTGTAGGTAAAATATTCACTACTTGCATAGAAGAGTGGAATAAGGGACCGTTTTCGAAAAAATCTAAAAAGGACAATGTTATTGAAACAGATACGGAAGCAAAAGCAGAGCCCGTTCAAGCAGCAAATATACTTAAACGCTCAGTCAGTGATGCAGGAGAAGAAGAAACCACGGAAGTGAAGCGACAAAAATTAGAATCGGCTGCAGCGAAAGTTCGCAGGTCCGCATCATATGACACTGAACGAACCGCTCCTAAAGAATCTCTAGTTCCTAATACTGAAATTATAGTAATAGGTGAATCAGATAAAGCATGTGAAATTAAGGTAACTGTAGAAGTAAATCGCGATACAGAAATGGTAACAGATGAAGTTAAAACTATTTTGGAAGTGAATAAGCCAGATGATCTCATCAATCAGCAAAGTGATGATATAAAAACATCCATAGAAAATAAAAAAGAAGCCGAAACAAAGAAAAAAGAGGAATCATCGAGTACTACATCCACTACTTCATCTTCCGATTCTAGTTCTAGTAGTTCATCTACAGATAGTAGCAGTGATTCTAGTCGGGATAGCGATACATCCACCAAATCATCTGGTGACTCCAAACCTTTGACTGATGATGAAATAATGACAATTGTAGGAGCTTGTTTGGATGCATTAGAGGATTGCGCGAGTAGATTTCCGCCTCATTATAAAGCAATATACAGGCTAGCTCATTATCATTTTTATTATAAGAAGGGCAGGGATATCGAAAGGTGCAGAGATCTTATGTTATCAAGCTTTACATCTAGGTCGGGACAGAAATTGGGTGGTTTATTTAGTGAACGCAAGTCTGCAAATTTTTTCAATAACATATGGAAGATTCCAATGAATGAAGTAGACAGAGGCGGTGGTTTTGCATTTCATATGAGCCGGTCGGTTCAGTTGACAATGGAAATTTTAAAAGAAATAGATGACCATAAAACATTGCTTGATTTAAGTATGCAATTGCAGAGAATCCCGGAACCTGATAAGAAATATTTGAGGGATTCTGATAGGGAGGAACTAGCTCACCAAGCGTTCTCTCTTTGTGTACAATCACTTAAGGGGCAACTCACTAAGTTTAGCCAACAAGCCGACCTGAAAAGTAATGATGTGGAGAAAGAAGCATTAAAAAGCTTAACTTTAGATATTTATAGAGCATATATGAAAGCGCAGAAGCAACCTAATTCTAAACAGTTAACAAATTTACTCGTCGAAGCTTATAAATTGGATTGTCCAATACCAATACCAGAAAGTATAAATCTTGTAGATGTCAGTATGAAACACTGTCAGTCTCTCATACAGACATTGAAACAGCAAGCAACTCTTGCTAGTTTAGATAAAAGTCAAAACGCACAAAAGAAGCAAACAGCTAAAATTGCTGAGACTGTTAAAATGGCGTCCGTAATAACCAATGTGCCGAAAGTACATCCGGAAACAAAGGCTCCGGCACCTTCAGTGCCTGTGTCTGGGTCTGCACTACCAAAAATGTCTCCTCACGAAATGGCAGCAGCCTTCCAGAGTTACTTGCCAATGATGAGTGATCCATTACATCAACGGACTGCTGCTGCATTATCGTATTTGAACAATATAAGCGCCTTAGCAAGTTATACATCGTTACAAAATACTTTGCAAACAACTATACAGAGCACTCTTCAAAATTCCTTTCAAGCTGAGTTCTACCGTCAGTATATTGGACAAAACTTCTCATCCGCCTACATGCCACCTGCCAAGAAACAGAAAAGAGGACCCAAACCATCAAATTCTCGTTCCACGGCTTTTAATAGCACGCAAATAAGGAGCACAAAATCATTGCCAACCACTTCTATAACTGCGGTTGCGAAAACTACACCATCGTCAACAGCATCTGGTTTACAGAAGTCCTCGTCATTGACTCCCAGTATGGGCACAGTGTTGTCAAGTTTGCCTGCATCCATGACGGCCAATTTATCCACATATGGTTCCTCTTCTCACTCAACATCTGTTTCTTACTCTAAAGTGCACAGTTCAGTACCATCTCAAGCTCATATGTCTAGTACTTCGACTGTGAACTCGGTAATCCACACAAAACCTCCAATGCCATTACAGCAAGTCAGCCCGGGTAAAACACTGCAGGAAAAATTGGCCGAACGTCAGAAAAACTTGCCGAAGACAGTGCACACGCAGGAAATTAATGCATCTATTAGTAAGCTGCCTTCCTCTCTAACGATAACAAAAACTTCTGTCTCCAAACAGACGGTTATTCAAGGCAAAAAATCTGATAGTAAGAAATCCTTACAATTCAGCGGAGATTCTCGACCGAAACCGATTGCTTCAGACGAAGTTATAGTATTAGATGACGATTAGACTGTTAGGATTAAATTATGATTATTAAATATAATATTATGTACAACATATATTCATATTAATAATAATATCGTAAATGAATAAAAATACTGTGTTTTATTTAAACTTTATTACAAAAATAATATAATTACAATTTACTGTACATTAGATTTTGCAATCAACTCGTGAACATTATTCGTATTATTACGAGTTCTTTTTATATTATGTTTTAGTATATATAAATAAGTTAATATTCAAATAATCTAAATACATATCTCTAAGGTGACTGACTGACATAGTGATCTATCAATGCACAACCCAAACCACTGGACGGATCGGGCTGAAATTTGGCAGGCAGGTAGGTGTTATGACGTAGACATCCGCTAAGAAAGGATATTGATTAATTCTACCCCCAAGGGGATAAAGTAGGGGATGAAAGTTTGTATGAAACTTAGTCAATTATAAACCGATCGAGCTGAGACTTTGCATGCATAAAGCCACTATGACGTAGGCATCCCTTAAAAAAAAAGAAAGGATTTTGATGAATTCCACCCCTAAGGGGATAATTTAACGCGAACGAAGCCAGCGGACAAAAGCCACTATATATTTATAACTACAAAGTTATGAACGTAAACTGTACCTACAAACTTTTATGTTGAATTTTAGAAAATTTGTTTTTCTTGTTTTTTGGTAGTCTGTTAAGTACATGGTAGAGTCAGTCAGTATCATTATAATATTTTGTATTATCATTGAATTGAACAAGTGAATGTTCAAATAATCAAATATTTTAAATTACAAAGTTATCAATATAATCTGTACAATCTTATCTGTGGAACGATTTTAGTTATACCAACACTAATGTTATAAATAAAATGCGTGTCTGTTTATTCATTTCACGACTAAAAGGCTGTTTGGTAATGAAATTTTATATGAAAATGCATATATTGGTATTACGAGAACGAACAATGGCTAGCTTTTATATATAAAAGAGAAAATTAGTGCAAAGAAAGTCGTAGGCTGTCATATATCTTGCTTCTTTTATACATACTGCGACTGTACATATGTACATGCCTTAGGAACTGTTAAATGTTGTAGTTTTATTATTGCATTCGAAAATAACATATATAGTTATACTAGCTGACCCAGCAAACGTTGTTTTGACATATGAATTAAAATCGATAGTAAAAAATAGGGGTAGAAGGGTGAAAAATTGGGGTTGTATACATAAATAAAATTGGAGTGACTGTTTCTAATATTGAAATATCCGTTTTTTAGTATATGCATGTGAATATAAATACGGTACGTACACCAAAATAACATTTTTTACCATTTTTGTCTGTCTGTCTTTGCTTGACCCGTCTAATCTCTGAAATGGCTGGTTAATTTTGATGGAACTTTTTGGCAGGTAGCTGATGTAATAAGAAGTAACTTAGGCTACTTTTATTTTAGAAAAATTAAGTTAATTTCCACGCGGACACTTCGTCGCGGGAACTGCTAGTATATAATATACATAGAAAACATTCCAGACTGATACAAACAATCATACTCATGAATATGTTTGCACCGTGCGAGGGATCGAACCCGCTATAAATGACCTGTTACACATTAATATTAGTGACTGGTTAAATATATTTAATTATTACTAATAAGTGGATGATTTCACTTTAATATATTCGTACAATTAGGAAAAATCACGATATCGTACCACGTTTTATTTATTTCTACCGAGTTCCCGATATTAATTATCTATACATATAAATAAAATTGCAGTGTATGTTCGTAATATTGAAAGAACAGTTTTTTACTACATGCATATGAATATAAATACGGTACACGCAACAAAATAACATTTTTTACAATTTTTGTCTGTCTGTCTGTTTGTTCCGGATAATCTCCGAAATGACTGGATCGATTTTGACGGGTCTTTTTTTGGCAGGTAGCTGATGTATAAGGAGTAACTTAGGCTACTTTTATTTTAGAAAAATTCCACGCGCACGAAGTCGCGAGTCCAGCTAATCATTACATATTATAAAACAAAGTCGCTGTCGCTGTCTGTTCGTCTCTATGTATGCCAAAATCTTTAAAACTACGTAACGGATATTGAAGCGGTTTTTTCAAATAGATAGAATGATTCAAGAGGAAGATTTATATGTATAATACATGTAAACCCGTGCGAAGCTAGTATAAACAAAACGTGATAAAATTCCGTGATTTTTCCTTATTTTGACGTATAAATAATGACCGCGTCAAATTTAAAACAGTATATTCACTTCTACATATCGTATATTTTTTATATATGGTTATAGAACTCTATAATGGTAGAAGTTGATGAGCATCGAACTTAGGTTCCATCCGGCCAGCAGACTGCCAATGTACGTAAGAACCAAGATGGGCAGTGGAAGTAGAAAAATTCGAGCGTTGTGGACTATTGGTAGATCTGAAACAATTGAATTATATTGTACTGTATTAATTGAACGAATAAATAAAAGTAGTTGAAAGTAATTTCAAACTTTTTCACGAAATAGCATTTCTATGCAGGAATGTTTATATATTATAGGACTAGTTACCCGCCCCGGCTTTCTCACATGGGTGTACATTTCCCACGGATGTACATGTATTATACATATAAACCTTCCTCTTGAATCACTGTCTATTACTAAAAACTGCATTACAATCCTTTGCGTAGTTTAAAAGATCTAAGCGAACAGACAGCGAAAGCTTTATACTTTGAAAATATTTTTTTTATTTCTTTTTAAATTTAGGGATTTCTACCATCTAAGTACATGCCAGTCCCATAGTACCCTAACAAACCTCACCAGTGAACAAATTGCCTTAGCCGCACTGTTTGAAGGATCGGCTAAAACAGTTTGTATGGCACCAACATCTAATATATTTATTCTATGGTCTGACGTTATTTTTGTAAAGATATTAATAATAAATCGAAAGAAATTCACACAGCGCCATCTGGTCCTATAATATTATACGTATTTTTAAAGTCAAATTATAAAAAATATCCATAAATAAAAATAAAGTATTTTGTTTGGACCTCTATAAAACTTAAGACCATAAAAATATTTAACTTCGTATTCTCTGATATACTATAATGACCAGACAAAATTTCATACGAATCTCTCCAACCGTTTCGGAGGAGCTTTGTTACAAACACTATGACATGAGAATTTTATATATTAGAAAATGTAATAATAATAATTAACAGTCAGTATAAACTCAAATGATCGGTCTATTATTTGCCTAATGGGTTTTAGTTTAACTTGATAACATTTACTTACTACTGTATCCCAGGAATGTGATATACAAGTAGTAGATTATGGAGGCCAGCCAGAACGTGTTCGACACGAGGCAAGACAGGTTACCACCATATGTCAGCAGATCTGGAAAGTGTAAAATAGATGTCATTATACATTTTTAGTTAGAATCTATTATATATATATATTTTGCCATATATGCTCTTTCACGCACGAATCGGCTTTTGTTGAGAAACCCTGTTTTAAAGTTTACTTTGTTGTAAAAATATGTTGTACAACAATTTATAATAGGACAAATATTTTAATGGTAGCAGTAGAGACAGTAAGGTGACGGTTAGGTCTAGAATTTTGTTTTGTATTTTTGGTTACAGAATACAAACAAACAAATTTTAAATGTAATTATATAAAAAAAGTTTCTCAACATTCAGTGCTTTGATTTCGACAACTTTCTTAGAAGTGCAACCAACGCGGAACACTGATTATGCCGTATGATGACGCATCCGTCAGGCAGGTGCTGGCCTTCAGCCGTTCCATAAGTCCTTCCGCGGGTTTGGAGTGCCATCTGCACCCTAACGTCCGGTGAAGCCAAAGGCCAGCTGCGGCCAACGACATTAGAGTAGTCCGAACAAAAAAATGTATGATGATGCAATAAGAGGAATCACACTAATATCAATATATTTATATATTTAACTAGGAATTTCTAAGTTTCTAGAGAAATATTTTGGTATTAAAAAGTAAACATAGGGTTGTCACAATATATAACAAGAGTTAGTATTAAATTATACATACTGTGAAATAGCACTATTTGCACACAGTGTAGGAGTAAAAGAGGCGGGAAGAACGCGTTGATGTGTACATCGAATGCGTAGCCCCACTCCACATCGGGCCCGTCTCGCTCCCGCCGCAAATACTTGTTAGTTACATACCTAAAAGAAAATATACTTTGATGAATACTATACCTTACACAGTCTCAGTTATTAACTTTATTGCGTTTTATTTCCGATGATCGTGGGTTAGATCTCGCACGGTACCAAAATTTGTATTTATGTGTATGATTGTTTGTATCTGTGTGTTTTTAATGTATATTATATATATAAAAAATATCGAATTTTATCTATCAGTTGTCTAGTACCCATCTCACAAGCTCTGCTTAGCTTGGAACTAGAGGTGTTGAATTTATACAATTGTTAGTTTTCCTAAAATATAGGTTTTATACATCAATTAAAGTAACATATTTGATAAACAAAGGTATATTAATAATAATAATGTTATATATTCTATTTTAATTTTTTTTTAATTTATATAATAATATTATATTTCTTTTACAAAACTAAATATAAAAAATAGGTAAGTAAGCACAGTTAAATATTTTTGTATATGACAGTTATGTACCTAAGCTAGGTACATAGATCCTGTGAGATATGAAATCATCATCATCAGCCCATTGCAGTCCACTGCTGGACATGTCTCTCCCAAGGGATGTCACTGGGCACATTCTTCAGCCCTTCTCTTCCAGCGATATGAAATGAATGCATAACACTTACCAAAAAAATGTGGAGACAAGTATAGCGGCTCCGATGAAATCCACGAACACCACAAATAAAACAAACAGGACCACTTTGCCCCACGTCAGGTTCATTATTAGGGCAAAACATATTGATGAAACTGAAAAACGGAAATAATATTAAAAAAAAAAGAAAAATCTATAAAAAAAATATAACACTAACATCTATTTATGCACAAGACATTTATTGACTTAAATATAATTTCATCCTTACTAATATCATAAATGTGAGAGTAGGAATGTTTGTTACACTTTCACGCAAAAACTACTGAACCGAAAACCATGAAATTTTTTGCCCATCACCATCTAGCAGCCAGTAATGATTCAATGAGACTGAAGCCGCGGGTAAAAGCTAGTAATTAATAAACACAGCTGTGACCAAAACAGTTGCCACTCAGCTTTGTGTATTGGCTGTAATTCCTATATCCTCATTTCCAGTATAATAGAATAGAATAGAAAATCATTTATTCAAATAAACTTACATTGAAGCACTTTTGAATAGTCATTACATTTTTTAATCTACCGCTCGTTCGGAAAGCTGTCTCATCACAAGAAGAACGTGGAAATAATTGTCCATTTGATTATTAGTTTTATTTATTTTTTAATGCCTAGGTGGCAGTATGTAATAAATGAAAATGTGTAGGTACTTTAATGTAAATAAACCATTTATGTCGCCATTAACAAGCACTGTTGATGTATCTTCTGTTAACTGATGGATTAAATACTATTACAAATTTAATATACGCACTTTTAATAGACATTTTTTATTGTGTATTTTCATAATGAAGATTCTGATAAGAATGAAGTAATCAGACAATAGATATTAAAAGTTTAAAAAATATTTTTAGATTTCAACTTTGTACATGTTTTCCAGTAAACCTATCTATACATATAAATAAAATTGGAGTGTTTGTTTGTAATATTGAAATATCTATATTTTATTACATGCATATGAATATAAATATGGTACATATACCAAAATTACATTTTTTACAATTTTTGTCTGTCTGTCTGTTCCAGCTCTCTGAAAAGGCTGCATCGATTTTGACGGGACTTTTATTGGCAAGTAGCTGATGTAATAAGGATTAACTTAGTGTACTTTTATTCCAGAAAAATAAAGTTAAATTCCATGCGGACATAGTCGTAGTTGCAGCTAGTATACAAGTCGCAGGTGCAGCTATAAGTTTAAAAAATTACTGTGATTTCCAATAGATACTTACAAAAAAGCCATCCACATAGTAGTACTAAAAAGGCTGGATCATCTCTGGCGAATTGTGATTTTGTATCTAAAAATAAAAAACATAATATTTGTAATTATACAAATAATAGTAACCCAGGACAATTCACACACCACCATCTAGTTCCAAGCTAAACAGAGTTACGGGTATTAGACAACTGATACAAATACTTAAATAATATTTTTTTGTAAATACATAGGCATATATATTACATAGAAATTAATGCATTATGATTATTATAATATACACTGTTAGTAAACTCAGTAGTACACTCACAGTACACTTAGCTCTTGACTAAGATGAAAAGTTCAATTAGTCTGCAAACTAAGGACAGAATTCAAATTACGTATTTTTATGCATATACATCTAATTACAGGCACTTAAGATAAATCAAATCTATTGACACTAGTCAAGTAGTTCGAGACAAGGACTGTTAGGAAACTCTGCCCTAACTTTATTTAAATTATTAACCGGGTCTTAACATAAATAATTTTATGGCAAATAAAGGTATTTACCTCTCACGACGTTTCGACTAGGTTGCACTAGCCGTGGTCATGAGCTGACTGGAGCAACAACGATGTCATTGTAGACAGATGACAGTTTTTTCATCTACCGTCACAAGATTGTTCAACGAAAGTTCGTGACACAGCACTCACGGTATCCATACACTTATCGACTGATTATGCTACTGAACTTTGCTTAAATGTATTTATTACTGAATTCCTCGCAAAAGATAATTTTAAGCCATCCTCTCTGTTGAAATTGGTATATTTTTTAATTTCAGAGAGGTTATATTATTTGCCATAAAATTATTCCTGTTAAGACTTGGTTAATACTTTTAAATAATGTATATTAAACACGAAAGTTTAAAAATAACTCTTCCCTAACTCTTTTCAAATGCTATTATACATGAAGCTATTAAGCTTAGATTTAGAATGAACTACTAGCTTATATTCTACTATATATTGTGCTCAATACTTACGTTTTCTATAATTAAAATTCCTAAACACTTTCTGTGGGGCGACAAACAGATATATCATTTGCCAGGCAGCAAATTCGAAGTCCATTTGGTTGAATTTAAATAGCCTCCTCAAGTATTTGTACCGTTTGACTGCCGCGCTAGCTGTTGTGGGTTGGTAGTTGGCTGGAGCCGGCAGTGGAGAAGTGCTTCTCGGATAGTTGTTGTAACTTGGGGTGGGTGATGTTGAATATTTCATTTTTAACCTATTTTCTCACGTATTTTCCAAAACTGCTGATTAGTTATGATCACATCACAAATATTCTGTAAATATTTAACAGACACTAAAAGTTCCGTTTATTTTTTGGAAAGATTTTCAGACTATTAGTAATAATAATATATGAAACATTAATTAATAATTGTAAATATAATTAAATTGTAATTTCTATTTACTATATTTCTGTTCTGTTGTCATTTGTCAGTATACTGATTGTCAGTCATTTTGGCTGTCAATCGTAATGTCAGTCTTGCGCAGAGCACTTTACAGTACAGAAACTTCTCAAAATCATTGGCAGAAATGTCTAGACAACATGTCAAACAAAAGTTTTTAGTGATTTGGCCAATTTAAATCAAGGATTTGAAAATGCAAACTGTACAGTGACTGATTACTTACTCAGTAGCAAAATCTTAATAAAATGCTGCCACTTTAACTAATAACTAAGTTACTACTTAATGAATGGAATAATTAACTTTTTAACAATGCCCTCAAAGTGAATTTTGAATAAAACTATTTATTACAAACATTAAACATATGTTTAGAATTTGAATTTGATTCTTTTTATTTAGAAATGATTGTAACTCTAAGGTAGAGGCACAAGGCACGTAGATGTATGATATAGGCAAAAGACGAGTAAGTTTATTCATATGTTACAGAAAAACTACAGCAAAGCAATCTTATTTGCTTGAGTTACGTTTTGACAGATACGTTTGTTTAATAACACTATGTACTGACTGATTGTTGTCCATACATTGTAGGTCTTAATATTCAATCTATAATTAATTACTATGATTGTCAGGGTGACCGCGAGGAGGTGGAGAATGTTAATAACTACCTGATTGTATCGCATCGATTGTTGTTGCTATCGTATTCATTCCTGATGAATTTATTACGATAGTCTAATTGTTTGGTATCCCGCCAGCGTATACAATCATTGCAGGCCAGTGAATGGTTCCATTTACATTTATTCAATAAAAAAACTCAAATAAAAGTCTACACGTGTATAAGTAAATTTTAGTAGTTGAAACTGATTTTAGAATTAAGTGGTACAATAAAAAAATATGTGCTTAAAATTCTACTATTCTATTATATTTACTTTCAATTTATTAGAGGAAGTTTGGGATGTAAAATAAAACATTCTGAAACATCGTTAGGTTTATAATAAAATTTATAATACATACAAAATTAATTTAACTTAGAGATAAAGACAGTCGGTCATTTAAAAATAGGCGTAAGTATCATTTATACAGGCCCAAATAAATAATAAATGTATTTTATAGATACTTTAACATATCTAAATATGGCGATATACTTATTTACAATTTTTAATACGGTAACTGTTTTTAAATAGTGAGGACCAACCCGTCTGAATACTACGTTGAGTCATGAGAATAAATTGTCTATGAAAAGGACAAAGTACATATTAGTCTAGCCAGTCTAGCGGTTTCGATTTCTCGCAGGTTACAAATATATGAAATATGTAGGATTTTTTGGTGTTTTCTATGTTGTTAATTATGTGTTTTCAAACAAATGTTTGAATTTAAGGATCAGTCGTTAGTATCCATAATAAAAGCTCTGCTTATATTGGAACTAGATGGCGCTGTATGAATTTAATAATATTATTTATTTATGGCTTCCCGCCAATGGTCTAATTGTAAAAAAAATATTTATTTATTTAATTCAGGCTACTAATGGCCCGTAAATTATATTGTTTTCAACATCATTCATATATAAATAATAATAACAGACAATAAAACAAAATAAAATTTATGGTTTAAGTACTCATAAACTGCTGAGCTACAGAGTACTTTCCTGAGTGTCAAAATCGGAGGATCGTGATGGTTGGCGAGGTCGATATTTAGAATTGCATATTTACAGACTGAAATTATGATGATTGATGAATAACTACTAATAATTATTTGTAATCGTGCTTTCTTCTAGAGATGTGTGAGAAATTATACCTAAAATAGATTATTAATCAATATAAAATAAAGAGTTTCATTAATTGACTTTTACATTCATTATTTTTTTTATTTAATAATTGTTTTAATTTTTAATTGTTTGGGCTCTCAGAAATTAAGTTAATGTAATTTTAATTTTTATTAAAAAAACGTAGTCGTATTACACTAACGCCAAGAGTATCGCGTTAGAGAGATAAATATATCTCATGTATTACCATAATATATCTGTCTGTATACCAAATTTTCATCAAATATTGTCGTTCTTAACAAATATCCTTTTATCTTCACTTCTGCACATATTATTTATTTATTTAACTTTACTCCATATATACAACAAAGTGCATATGGCGCACTTAACACCTTAAGTTATTTTCTACCGGTCAACCACAGGTCAACCACAGTACAGAGAAAACTTTTGTATAATATTCGTAGCAAAGAAACGTTCTCTACAAAATGTTTTGGTGTACCCAATTATTGTAATGTGTGACCCGGGTGTATACGCCCGGATATCCCGGCTCGCCGCACTTGTTCCCGAAGGAAACCACGCCTATTTGCGTCCATCGGCCATTCGCTAAAAGCATCAGCGGTCCGCCGGAATCACCCTGCGAAAAATAAATAACGCTCAAATGGACATTAGGTTAGAGCCGCGTAAGGAGTGTTTAGGTACGTTTATTGTTGCCGAGGAAAGGAAATATTTTATTACCCGTAGCTGCTGTAACTGTATATATAGATACTAGCTGTCCCGGCAAACGTTGTTTTGCCATATAAATTAATAACGCTATAAAAAAATAGGGGTTGATGATAGAAGGGTGAAAATTTAGGATTGTATGTATTTTTGTGTGTTGTATCATAAAAAAATAAAAACTAGTAATTTTGTCTAAAAAATAAAAAAATAAAAATTAGAGGTGGACTACCTCTAACATTTAGGGGGATGAAAAATAGATGTTGGCGGATTTTCAGACCTACTCAATACGCTCACAAAATTTCATGAGAATCGGTCAAGCCGTTACGGAGGAGTATGGGAACGAAAACTGTGACACGAGAATTTTATATATAGGTAAAATATTCCCATCTGTATATACAGTTAACTAGTCTTTTTCCAGGTATTCGTCTGCTTTTATTCAGGTAAAAAAGTCCATGTATATTCATTCTTGGGACGCATCAAACACGCGAATCTTACGCCATATTTTATTAAGTTGTTTACTCGTGAACAAACAGATAGATAGACACACTATACATAAAAAAAAATACTTAACTTTTTATTGCGACTTTGTCTGATTATAATTATTTGAGATGAACGATAGGTAAATTTTTTTACTGAATGTTTTTATTACAATTGTTATTTATTGAGATTTTCTCCTCTGATCTTAAAGCGTCTGCAATAGACTAGGCAGAAGTGTTTTGACTTTTGTACAAAGTGTACCTCTGATACCTTTTACATACTGATTTCTGCAACGTCTGAAGTAGAGGTACAATGTTGTACAGTCTACCTCTGATACTCATTACATACCTGACAAGCATCAACTCCACCCCTAGCGTACCCAGCACATAGAAACGTGTCAGTGATCGGCTGGAAGTACGCTCGGTCGCAGTCCTCGTTCCTCCACACCGGCAACTTGGCTTCCAGTTGCTTGGTGCTCTCCCCGCCGCCGTATCTGGTGGTGCCCCAGCCCACGACGGTAGCTAGTGACCCATCGAACTGCTGCCGAGCGAGGTCACCAGTTGGCAGGCAGATAGGTATCACATATTTCGATTTTTGGACGTTCTCTAAAATGTAATAATAATAATAATATATCTATTGCACAGAATATGTACAAAAAGAAAATTTTACATAAATGTGCTAGAGAAAAGACTGCCTTATCGCTTAAAGCAATTTCTTACAGACATCCTGAGAGTTCGAAGCTATGAGTAAAGAAACGATGGCGCACTATAGAAACAGAAATAGATGCGTGCGTATAAAATATATTATTGTGAATTTTATCAAAATACATTCAGTAGTTTTCGCGTGAAAAAGAGTAACAAACATCCATCCATGTATGAACAAATGTGTGAATGTATCACAAACTCAAATATATATAACTCTAATGTGACTGACATAGTGATCTATCACCGAAGCCGCGGGTAAAACATTGTATATTTATATACACAAACTCGTTTGTTTATTCTTAAAATATGTATATTTGTTATTGCTGCTTCAAAGATCTTTGTGTATTATTTACTATGGATTTTCTATCTCTGGGCGACCACTAGTACATCTAAATTAATATATATATTTTGTCTTCCACTAACGCATTACCAACCAACGTATGCTAAGTCATTAAAAAGAAAACTATTGTTTTTGAACTCATCCAGTACCTATAGATAAGGATATTACTGACCAGCTAGAACCAGCACAGCTATATCATTGTAGTAGCCAACCCTGGAGAATTGGTCGTGAGCGCGCACTTCCGTGACTCTCAGGGTCACCGGTCTCGAGGGCTCATCATCCCTTGCCAGGTCCACGTCTCCGAGGCGCACGCTGAACTGCCGCGGGGGGAACCTGGTATGCATAACACGGTGTGGCTGAGTTGTTGACAAAGTTTAGCTAACATTATTTATGTTATTTATAACTAACTACTGACGACCTGTATGCCATCAGACGCAAACCGATCGCCTGTCTATTACATGTTGCAACGCAGCAGTAACAGCATTCTAAAAATGCAGTGCAACAAATTTGACAGTCCCAATACATTGTTTTTGAACTCAAATTGTTTGGAGGCGCTTAAATGATAATATATGTAACTTTAAGTATATTAACATAAACTAAGTATCATTGTTATTAACAAAATGGAAGTTAGTAACCTAATTAAATGAAATTATTATTAATACTTTTTCAACACACATTGCTCGTAAAGTGGATGTAATTTCACCGGTTTTAGATATATAAAGTAGTTCATAAAATACGTGTGTGTTATAAACGCAAATAGTGTAATTATATTCCATAACCACACTATTTAGGTACTTATTTTTTATCAAACTTCAAAATGGCCGCCGCACGGTGCCAGCCAGTAGGTAGGGCGCATATTTACAAATGCAAATCTTTGTGAGCAGAATCATACCAAAATGACTTCCTTTTTTTTAAGTTAAATTACAATTATACCAAAGTGCCATACGGTCTCTGCTTTGAATCTCTGGTGCAATGGGCAGCTGTGAGGATGTGCCGCTTCCCAACCAGGGTGCCCCCGCACCAGAACTCCCTCCTTTTGCTGCCGTGGAGATATATCGCCGCCATCCACGGCCACGCCCCAGGTTTCGACTCCGTACCGCCAACGATGCGACCGCCTTCGTCCTCTCTTTGTCCACAATCTGAAGTAAAAAAAACACATTAAACAAGTTTTTGGATTCTTCTTTTTTTAATTTTCTGAGAAATATTCCATAGCAATGTATATTGTTTTACACCATCAGAAACAGAGAGAACCGACCCTAACCGAATATATATTGAAAAAGCAATGGGTTTTCCAAAAGAGTTGTTGCCACCCCTAGTGTTTCAGGCATCCATAAGCTACGATAACCATTTACCATCAGATGGTCCGTACGCTAGATTACCACCTTCGTGGTATTAAAAAATAGAAGAATTACGATTAAAACTCAATTATGAACTCACCATTCATATCAACTATGTTGGAGTAATTTCCAATGATGGGAGGTGGAACAGTGAAGATAGTGGACGTCGTTGGTCTAGGCGTGGTTGTAATTGTCGTCGTTGTAGAAGGTCTGGTCGTAGGTCTAGGAGAAGTAGCTATTGACACAGGCTTAGGCTTTTTTGTGGTAAGTGTTAATATTGCAGAAGGTTTCTTCGTTGGCTTCTGTTGAGGTCTTTGCGTTGTTACCGGAACAAGGTATGTAGGCTTGCTCGTTGTCAGTACCAATGGCTTCTCAACAGCAGGAGTAGACGAGACAATGGCATCTTTAGGACAACATACTCCTGGCACGAATAGATCTTTGAAACAAAGCGACTCCCTCAAATTTACCAAGTTGAGCAGCAATTGTGGGCAATTACTTAAATCTTCACAAATACCCTCTTCATTTTCAGGTGTAGTGCAATATCTTGCATCGTCTCTGCGCACATCTGCAGTTGCTATCTTAGTTATTGGCGCGTCAGGTAGAACTTTTGGTAAAGCTTTCTTTACTATTGGAGCTATCTTATCAGTAACGTTTCTACCTAAGACGTTTTTACTGATTGTATATAGGGCTTGTGGCAGTTGTTGAAGGTTCGGGTCAGATTCGTTTCTATCATTTTCATTGACCATGTCAACAAGATAATGTCCAACTGTATTTATGGCACCAAGTGTTTCAGAGATTCTCGTGAATGCTGTTTCTGACAGAAGTCTTCCATCATTTGGGTTTATATTAGACTCAGCATGAATAAAATTGAAAGGTGATCTACCTTCATTGTTACTGATATGTGATTGATAATTATGGGGCCCAACTTGGGGTTGAAATGGGTTCTGACTGTATGAAAAGTGTTGGTTGCTCGGTGCTCCTTGATAGTACGTCAACGGCATGGACTCTGAAGATCTCTTTCTCGGTAAAGAGAATTGATGCCATTGTGGATTTCTCTGCTGTATATGCGGGTTCCAGTCAGCCGTTCTCTGCGTGAAAGAAACTGTAAGAAAACTCAGTAAATTGGGATGCGCTATCAAAATTACAACGATAATATGTGAGAATGTAGAAAGGTATTGATGCATACCTACCCGGATGGTGAACAGGATACTGGCATCGTATTTCGGAAAGCAGGAATATACCTAAAAAACAAAGAGAAAATAATTGTAGTTAATTAAGGCCAATGTTGTACAAACGATGTGACAATGGTTTAGGTTACAGGTACAAAAAACAAGAAATACTCGTTGTATTTCTTGTTTTTTACGAAACAATATGGGCATTTGTTCCTGCGCTTTAATTTGTGTATGCAGTTAAAAATATATTTGACTTGAAATGTCATCATTGTAGTATTGCAAAACCTACTTATGTAAAAAAAAATCCAGTCATGTTTTTATTTATTTAGTTCAATTCTAGAATTACATGTATAATAAAATTGCCATATAAAATTGGCATTATCGAGCAAATTTGAAAATATATTTTTTATTATATAAGTGTTTATTAAATAATTTCATTTAATAATCAGTAACTTTCAGATTGTTAAAGATAACATTACTAAACATTTAAATGTCAAACAAAAAACCAAGAGCTATAAAAGTTTCAAAATAAATCTAAAACAAGCTTTAGAACTCATATCCTTTCCACCATGGTAAACTACCAAAAAGGCGGGTGAAATCTATCGCACCTTATAAAGCCTTGCTTGTCGTTAGTGTTGTAACATATAGAAACCTCTACCGACTCTGCCACACATGACTTACTTGTTATGTTCTGGAAAATTTCGAATTATTGTCTTTGGTGTATCGTAAAGAGTGAGATATCTACCACATTATGTTAACGCTGGTAGATACGAGCTCACGTCTACCTTGGGGATGATTTTGTAACGATATTGTAATAATTTATTAATTCTTGCCTTATCCAGCGTATATTTAATGCGTCTATATAATTTCGCTTTTAGGCATAGTGTTGAATTACAATCCAGATTTGTATCGAACTACACGCTCCTAATCATATTCTTGTATTGATTGTAATCTGTTTTGTATGCTAATAAATAAATAAATTCTAACCGATTGAAATTTAAAGGTTTACGAGTATATATGTAGCGTTTGACCGAACCTACACAGTATCTTTAAGTATCTAACAGAAATGGCAATCAAGATCTGCTTCTGCTTGATGAAATGTGATCATAACACATGAATAGTATCACAGACATCACGGTATCATGTGGTTCATGTTTAGATGACTACAGCATGGGGTTTTTCAAGCAGCGTATATTAAGATTTTTTAAGGGCAACGCGCACGTGATACCCCTGGTGTCTCAGGCGTCCATAGGCTACGGTAACCATTTACCATCAGATGGGCCCTATACTTGTTTGCCACCATCGTAGTATAAAACAACTGGTACACCTGTAGTAGCCTTTCAGGAATAAAGTGTTGTGTAGAGCCCCCAGTAATTACACTGCAATATCACCCCTTTAACTGAAAAACATTTTACAAACCAAGGCTAAAATAGATAACTCAGATAACCACAGGGAGAGAAGATTGTTAATAATGTGGATTGATGATCTTACTGCTAGCAATGTACCATGTCGGCTTGACATCCGACGATGGTTCCCATGGAAACCATCGTGATAAATTCTTGGAGAATTTGTCACGATGGGCAACTGACCTGACCTCATGCTCATCTTATCATGCTCCACTGGTGTCCCACCAGCGTAAACTGTTAGCGGAGGCGGGTGCACCGTTCACACACAACTTTGTACAAGTCTAGTAGGTAAAGTTTGATATTGATTGGAAATTCAAAAAAGTTATTTCTAATTTCTATAGAGTAATGAGCAGAACTATACATTTTTCTCCTTTTTGGCAAAAGGTTTACGTTGCTCTATTTACGTATACAGATGTCTATTCTAATCCTTTCTTAAATAAGAAAGAATTTAGTGAGCATGAATTACATCTTTAATACTATCTAATTATATATATAATTACATCTAGAATACCACAGATAACATAATTAATAATATTATAAACGCGAAAGTTTGTGAGTATGGACGTATGGATGGATGATTACTCCTTCACGTAAAATCTATTGAATGGATATTGATGAAACTTTACAGTAATATAGTTTATACATCACAATAAAATAGGCCACAAATTGTATGCGGGTGAAACCGGACATCTTTTACTAATATTTATTAGACTTAGTCGACAACTTAGTTAACAATTTCTACCAACTTCGTACAGTTAGATCCCTCTAACTGTACGAAGTTGGTAGAAATTGTTAAACACAACGTACATACATTAACTTTTTTCTTTCTGTTTTGTGCAGTTATATGGAGACACTCATTTCATCTTCATTGGTAGGTAAATAAATAAATAACCTTGAACAATTAACACAGCGAGATTTAGTCCCACGGTAAGCAGAGCGTGTGTTATAGGTACTAGACAACTGATATAAATACTTAGATACTTTCTTTGCAAACACATACATAATTTACATAGAAAACATCACAGCGATCCAAACAATCATACTCATTAATACAAATGTTTGCACCGTGCGAGGAATCGAACCCGAGACCATCGAAAGTAAAGCCGTGTAAATATATAATAGTGAATACTTTACAAAATGGTTTGATACAATTTGTCGGTAATTAATATAATAATAATAATCCCATCCGAGCTACTAGTCACCAGCTTAAGCTGTGAAAAGAGAATAATAATAATACCACAGATAACATATGATAATACTATAAATACACCCCACAGATAGTACTCGAATCTCCCGGTTATAGGTTGTATTGGGACAGGACTATAATAACAGACAAAACTGTACATCACAACAGACCAGATATAACACTACATGATAAGAAAAATAAAATAGTTTACCTTATAGATATTGCAATACTAAATACACATAATCTTCTATCAACACAAACAGAAAAAATTACTAAGTATACTGATCTAGCAATAGAATTAAAATGCAATGGCAGGTAGAAACAGTAAAAACTCTTCCAATTATTATTTCCTCTACAGATGTCATTTCAATATCCTTACACTCTAGCCTCAAAATATTACATCTTCACCCACTTACTTTCATACTTCTCCAAAAAGCTGTAATTCTAAACACCTGTAGAATAGTCCGCAAATTTTTGTCATAATAATCATTTCTTTTATAATTGTCATTGTTTGGTGATATTCACCCGCAATGACAAGTTTAACACCCCATCAAAGGGAGATATATAATATATATGTAAAATAATAATAATAATCACACTGACATACAGACACACTGAACTTACTTCGTTTCGGCCCGTAAGTGTGGAAAAAACCAGCAAAATCTGAGAGAGTGAGACGATAGTAATAATAATAATCTCAGGACAATTCACACAGCGCCATCTAGACCCAAGTTAAGCTAGCTAAAGCTTGTGTTATGGGTAATTAAAATGAAATATACAAGAAATGATTTCAAAAACTCGATCGATAGTCTTATTTGGTGAGTCATGTGAAAGTATTTGCGAAGTTTACGAGGGCATAGTTGCGCCAACGCACCCATACGGGTATGGCTCGGTTTTCCTTGTCGAGGATTTGTGTAGCAATACATTTGTTTATGGTCATTGTTTGGATAGATTTTTAAGCATTCTATTTACATATATGGATAGGTTAACTGTTGGAAAGCTTGTTGGAGAGGAAAGTTGTTTTTTTAAAGGTACTGACTTATGTTTGTGCCACTACAGTCTTTTGTGGGGGGAATAATGTGTAACACATTATTCCTCGGAGTTATTTAAAGATTTTCCCGAGATTTAGCACTCGATATATGGTATATTTATATTATAGCATACTTATATCAAAACTGCTACGAATAAATTTTCTTTTAAACGTAAACTACGGGAATATTACCTGAATTTATAACTTTCTCTCTTCTCTCAGTTCTCTTTTCTTTTCATTTAACTCTCTTTAGTTCTGTGACTGTCAGACTATTTGGTATATATTTAAGTTTATTGCATATATATGTATATATTGATGTGTTTATAGGTATCATATTTGTATATATTTATGTTATATATTATTGTATCTCTTAAGTATATGTATATATATTTTTGTTCTGTTTATATTTTGTTGCATTTTGTTTACGTTTATCATTTTGCACCGCCAACAACTATTCTCTGCACCACCAATGGTTGACTGGTAGAAAATGCCGCATGGTGTTAAGTCCGCCAAATGTACTGTACTATATATTATATTGTGTGCATTGAAGTAAAATAAATAAATAACTAAAAATATTTATAGTTTTAAATTTAAAAAACCAACGGCATTAGAGTAGTCCAAAAAAACATTTTAAATTTTACATTTAAAATGTTTTTTTCTGCCTTTACAGCTTCACCGGACGATAGAGGGCGAGTGCAGATGACACTCCAAACCCACGGAAGGACTTATTAAGGAGCTGCTGAAGGCCAGCAGACTTAGTCTGCGGGCACCGCTAGAGTGCCTGTGTATTATTTATGTTATTGAGAATGTACGTAGTTAAATAAAACAATTCTATAAATATTTACAACTAATGAATAATTCAACTACATATAATAAATGACTGCTATAAATATATTTACTAAAACATTACTGTTATACATAAATTAATTAAATTCGTGTGGTAAACCGGTCCAATACAAAATGACCGCAGAATGCGTCCGTGACCTTTTGTGACTACGAATTCAAACTCACGTGTTTTTTATGGATGATAATGGAATACTGCACTCGCCTGCGCTAATGGTTTACGCTGGCAGGTCACCAGTGGAGGATGATAAGATGAGCATGAGGTCAGGTCAGTTAGCCCATCGTGACAAATTATTCACAAAGAATTTATCACGATGGTTTCCAGGAGGAACCGTGTGGAGGTTTCAACTTACCATGGTACATTGCTAGCAATAACATAATCAGTCCACATGATCTAAAATCCTCTTTACCTCCCAAACTCAGCGTGTTAGTGAACTCGATTACGTATAAAATACTGTGATGTTTTTGTAATGTCGCATCATTATCTCGGTGGTCTAGCGGTTTAGCACACCGCTTTATTTCCGATGGTCGCGGGTTCGATTCCCCACACGGTACGAATATGTTCTGTTATCTGGGTATATTATGTGTCTTTACAGATAAAAAT